GCCGAGTCGGAGGGAATGGGAAATAAGGGAGGTAACGCTGAAATTCGGGTATTTTTCACGGCAAGCCTCTTAGACTAGCGGGCTCGTTATTGAAATTGATGGACAAAACAATAGACAAAGGGAAATGGACTGCAGTATTTGAAACACACGCCGGCCAAACAGCAATTTGCCGGTAAGAAATCGCCTTCGGCCGCTAAGAAAATCGTTGTTAAACTCCGTTTTTGGGATTTTCCGGCGTATTCCTGACTCAAGGTATTTCGAAAGGGCAATTTTTCATTTCGGCCCCTAAGAAATCTGAGATGGCCCCGAATAAAACAAATTGCAGGCCAGATGACGGCTAAGACTTCATGCCGAGTTTCGAACACTGAATGGAGCGACCCTATTGGATGAAACGGGTGGTTGTGGTAGACTAGGGGGAAATGATGAACAAACTATAAGAGTTTACGCAGGGTGCCATAAATTAGTCTATTACTTAAACCCCCTCTGTCCATTGCAACCACGTGCTTCCATCGATAGGAGCGCTCAATTCCCGTCGCCTCCTTTGTCTATCAATTTCGATAATCAGCCCGCTGGAGGGTGAGGAACTTCGACACGAAATGTCTGAAGCCCAAGGTAAGACAGCTCCGAGGCAACACGGCCGGCCGATTGAGTTGAACTGAGGGAGCATTAGTGATTTATGGAATAATGCATAGTTGAACACATCATGTCAGAGCCGAACATTCGACTCAACTGCCGTGCTATCGACAAACGCCGTATGAACATTCGAGAGTCGCCAAATTTCCTCCCAAAAATATTTATTCTTGAAGAAAGTCATGAATATTTTTCCCTGAGATTTTCAGAACTTTTGGATCGAATTGCCAACATAATCCCCTGAAGAATCGGAAAGAAAAATATTCATACATTTTCCATAAAATTCGTGATTTTTCGAAAGAAATTTGGAAATGTCTGAAAGCTCATACGGCGTTTATCCTCAGCGCGGCGGTATACTACTACTACACACACAGCCACTAACACACGGCTGAATCGAGCGTCAGTCAGTTTCGCCGCTTTCGACAGCTATTGTTCCACTGTCAAAAATCATACTTCTCTCATACCTACTTGAACCTTCATTTCCCAGATCTCCTCATTTAAAAAAAGGAGGAAAAATGAGACGGAAAACCCCGTTGAATAAACTATGTTGATACGTTCAGAAGATGACAAGAAAAAGAGGAACCCTGATCCGATGAAATTCCTAATTTTCCATCGACGCACAATGGTGCGAGTCAATAGGAGAAGCCGGACAAAATTTGGAAACTTTGAAAGCTAATAACTCCGTTTATACCAAATTTTGAGGTTCTGATGGTGGTCCCATTGGTTCCCTCGTAGAATTTTCTTCCTGAAGTACCCCTTAAAATTTAAATTGTGATGCAATGAATAGGTATCAAAATTTGGAGTTTTAGTAAAAAATTGTATGTCCAACCTTTCTGATTAACTGGATCCACTATGTGACGTTAAGTGCGAACAACTCAATACTTAATTTCCCTTCCAAGAGGTTCCTTTTGAAAAACAAGGATTTTCACCTCATAAAATAGCCTTCGATGGCCAAAGTGCGAAACCAGGGCTGCAGAATCTTCTGAGCTTCTACATTTTCACGCGCCCGCCGCCCGGTTGCCCACATTTTTCTCATCAGTTTTCCACAAAATTTCCCACTAATCTAATCCAAATATGACCTTTCTCTCCTGTTTCCCTTTGATATTCGACTTTTGACCCCTCAAAATGTTCCCACCTTCCACATTTTTGGGGCTTTTCCACATTTTCATGCGTCCGGGCAGGTTCGTGATCGGGCATTTTATGCACCCCTGTGCAAAACTACGTATCTCCGCCTTCGATGTTGCAGACTTCCTGTCATACTTGATTTTTGCTTGGAAAAACTAGCCATCGTAATTTCTAAAGCACTTCTTGGATTTTTCTCCTCTGTTAGTAGAATATTCTGTTTCAATTTCAAGCTATGAAATTGGCTTGTTGCCCTTCTTAAAAATAAAATTTAAGCAAAAATTTCGAAACACCGCGATGGAGATGCGTGGTTTCGCAAAGGCCATCGACTTCATTCTTCCTATTTTATTCGGGCGATGACCCTGGTATGAACGTCGGAGTCAACCGTCTGTCTCCCGTGCTAAGGAAAAACGCCGTATGAGCCTTCAGACGTTGCCAAATTTCCTTCGATGAAACCCGAAATTACTGGGAAAATTGTCAATATTTTCCCCCAAAATTTTCAGACAATTTTCTACACAAATGAATCTATAAAATACCTGAAAACTTCAAGGAAAAATATGCTTAAATTGCCCTAAAAATACACGTTTTATCAAGGGAAATTCGGGAGCTCTAAAATGCTTTTAATGCGTTCTTCCTTAGCATGGCAGTGTTGGTCCTCCGAGAGGAAATGACAGGCAAAACACTGGAACAGACGACACCTCTCAGACTTGGTGCAGCGTTAATTTACGTTGAATGTCACCTCAATTAATTCTAGTTAAGTAGCTCCTGCTTCTAGTTTCCTTTCCCTATCGGGTTCACGGGCATCCGTGGACACTTCTCCTTGTCTCACACCATCGTCACCCTTCGTCGAACACCTCCTCGATGAACTCTCAATTTTTCTTTTCTCCCAACGGAGGAAAAGTAATTGAGGAAGGTCAGGACTCCACAGAATAAAATCTACCATGTCTCTTCTCTTGCATTTCATATGATTGAGACTCTACATTCCTAGATTACTACAATCGTCTTCTTTCTATGCCTAATTTTTATACATACCTAAGTATTACAGGGTTACCACAGAATTCGTAAAATGAAATTCCCTGACATTTCCCTAATTACCCTGACACATTTCGGTGAAATTCCCTGAAGATTGAAGATGTGACGGATGGTCGAGTAGACATGATTGAAATTAGTTTTCGGGCAAAATTTCTTGTTCAAGATCTCAAACCCATTCTAGAAAGTAAATGAAGGTGATTTATACAAATTTCCCAGACATTTTCGTCATTTTCCCTGACTTTTTAAAATTCTCGACATTTCTCAGTTTTCCCTGACTAGACGACTTGGATGTCAGGAATTAATGTCCCATGATTTTTCTTGCCCTGTCACAAAAACGAATACCTTACAAAACATTTTTTCCATGGTATTTTAAATGTATTAACTGGGTTGCTATTTAGATTACAGTTATCGCAGGATGGCGACGAAGTTATCTCCATACAAGTGACGAACAGAAAATTGACGCAGCACGATAATACTGTGATGGCACTTGAAGTTTCTTAAGATATCTTTCAACTTGACATCCGAGTGTTCACTAGGCAATTGCAAAGGGCTTCAGTTAATCTTAGTTGAGTACTTTTTAGCTGAGACAGCAGTGCCAAATTTTGCATCATGGTTAACAATTTAATACTTACACTAGGATTGCCACATATGAGTATGACAGGATTCTGAATGTGAGCATGATATATATATTTTACCCATCTTTTTTCAAGAAAGGGGTTCATCTTTCAGGGAACATTTCAACGATACTTTTGCTCAAAAGTTTAAGTTTTACTGACGTCCCACGATGTCTTTGTATGATACTTAATAGATGTTCAGAGAAGAACTAGAAATGTGTACTTAGGTTGAGATGTGGCTACATACTTATTTACTACAGCAATACTATGAGAAAATGAATTTTTCCACCTAACTGACAACAGTGACAAGTGCTATCTTGGCTTAACGCGATGTCATTAGCTACAATTCTATAACACAGACTTCAAAGAAAACTTGCACGTGAAAGATAATATCATCATGCGACACCAGTAAATTCCTTTCCTACCTACTTAGATAAATAGTAGTTTAATTCAGGTTGAGAGCTGGCTTAAAAATTTTATTCAGACATCTGTAACTTGGCAGACTTTTAATTAGAGGTTACAACTAGACTTTCGTGCAAAAGAAAAAATTAAAACACATATTACCTACTTCCAGGTGTAGCGAATTCCTAACAATAAACCTGCATCATTGGTTCAAAGGCAAAAATGTTTGCATTGATTAAGTGCCATGATGTATCAATAACTAAGCATGCTCTTCTATAGGGATACTCAAACATTAGAAATATGATGATTAGCAGGCTATTTTGCCTCTTTTTTATTAGGTGAATGTCTAGCGGATTTTTTGTTGACTTGGGTGGAGACATCATACGTCAGGACTAAAGTGAGGTACTGCTTAGGTCACCACTCATTAATGGTGTCATCTGATTGCATGTATAAACCTGTTGAGTGATGCTGATTAGAGATTGAAATTTGTCTCAACGTACAATAACTGACATAACGAACGGACAAAGTTCCTTATAATTGCACACCACAGAATTGAACTCAATTCATGGAGTTACAGTGGGTGCCTTGAGGCCATGCTTATTTGGAATTCATTAACTCGAGCACCTCCTAAAACTAAACCCATCTTGGTCATCGATAGAAACTTCATGCATTTTTTCCTTAAGTAGGTGGTGCTGATCAGGGGTTTCAGAGATTTTATGGACTTTTTTTCAGCAAACAATTACTGAGCAGTCACTCACAATGTTAAGCACATTGAGAAGTGTAGAATCAAAATCAAAAACCAAATTTTGGTAGGTATTCCTCATCAGGAATGACTTCAGCAAATTGGGTTCAGCGAGAAATATGAGACATTCCAAACTTTATCCCATCCAGCCATGAAAAAACTACCTTTTTGCAGAGGTAAAGGTTCATTGCAGAATCTAACAACTTGGAAAAATTTGGTAGGAAACATGACTGCTTGTCTATTGAAGACATTCTGCATGCACCAGCAAAGATTTGCGGGGTGACACCCTGATACCGCCCCCCCAGGATGGTACAAGCATATGCTGAAGGCGGGTGATAACATCCTTTGACCGAATCGATTTTGCTAAGATGGAAAGGCAATTTCAGGACTTCGGATCTGAAAGGAAGGAGAAAACCGCGGCGGTAATACTTGAAATATTAAAACCAAAACATACACACCTAAATTTGAGGTTATCTGGTTTCAGTTGAAAGTTGTGTTGGAGGACGCCGCAAAGAAGCAGCTCATGCAGATCCTGGCGAAAATTTCGAAGTGCACAATTAGAGAGGCATAATCCGAACTTAACCGATCATTTAGAAAACACTCTGACACTTGTCGAAGGATAAAAGTAACCGAACTTGGAAACACAAACACATCACTAACACTTGACCGAAAGCACACTCAGCGACCGAATTTTCCGCGAACCGCCGTGAGGTAGGTTTAGTCTCAGATGGTTAGGGATTGGATCATTCCGCGGCGAAAACACAAAATTAGGAGAATGATATTAATTTCGGCGGAAATCCGGGGTTTAAAAAATAAAAATAAAAAAATTCACAAGAGAGACCCTCCCATCCCGACGGTTACGATCGAAGGACTGAAAACCAAGCTGAAAACTGGCGTCAAAAGCTTCGCGCTTCGAACGCTAGGTAGCGCTAGTGTACCGCGCGTCGGTGGAGGGAAATGCGAATCACCGCGTCCGCTATGATGATCCGTCATTTTTTTTATGACTCACGCTCACGCTTGCTTATTTTATTACCCATCGGGAAGTCCTTGGCGATAAGTGTTTTTCGTTTGATAATTGGGTGTAATTTTACTGTTCATTCAATCACATCCGCAGACAGAAAAAAGATAGAGAACTAAGTAGTAATCTGAGAGAAGAGTCAAGTTTTTTCAATTCTATTCACTTGATTGTTCTTCGTAGACGGACATCCTCACATTCGCAATCGAAATGATCATGGTATTAACAACAGAACGGTTGTTCGTGGAAAATTACGTTTGAGGAGAAGAGTCACAGTGTTCCCAGGCGTACGGATATTTCCGCGCCGCGCGGACATTCCCTATACCCGCGCGGACAGCGTACGGACAAAAACCTTATGGGAAAATTTTTCCCTATCTTATTTTGTCCGTACGCTCGCCCGGCCCTGTCCGTGCGTCTGTTTATCCGCTTTTCTTTGCAATATTTATTACTTTTGCGTAAGTTATTGATACAATTATGTTAAGTATGAAAGCCGGGTATCGTTCGGGAACAAATTAGATACTTTTTGCATTAATTATATTGTATTCTTATCAAAATTCAGTCATTTCATTTATGTCCGTGCGCCCTCAACAAAACAACAAAACAGCCGGAGCCGGAACCGGAAACGGAAACGGAAACGGAATTCACGGAACACGGAGCGGCACGGATATACACGAGCCCATCCGGAGAGCGTACGGACATTTTAAGATAGGAGCACCTGGGAACACTGAGAGTCAAGCATGAGTATGATACTTTGATATGGATCTAGCAAATGGATCAATAGAATTTCTCGGCCGTGATTACAGACATGATACGATACCTCTGCGTCGGAGCATTTCGTGGTTAATCAAATCATTGTAAACTTGAATATACCTGTAGGATCATCCATGGTAAATGTGCTATTATAGTAATGTTAAAGCTCGCCATAAAGTTTATAAAAGAGAATGATAAAGCAATGGTATTATCAGACTCAAAATGTTGGAGTAGTGGTACGTAGGTTGCGCAAAACACTATTTCGCCTTCAATTTTGGGGGTAGACTAGAAAACATCCCCAAAGCAGCAATAGTTATCGATTCGAGACTTTGAAGGGATTAACGCGCTAGGAAGAGTTACTTGATAACATTGCGACCAAAGTTTTATTTTATAATGTATTCTTTCATGCAAGAGCGGTTGCAAATATTCCTCAAAATTGTGTCTCGAATTTCCTCCAGGAATTGAGGGGATAATTTCTCAGTGTTTTTTTTTTTTTTTTTTTTTTTTTTTTTTTTTTTTTTTTTTTCNTTTTTTTTTTTTTTTTTTTTTTTTTTTTTTTTTTTTTACCAGGCACCCGTCCTGTTCATTAATAGTAAATTAAGTTGCTACGCTCCATGAAACTTCGTAATGCTGCAATGCAGTTGGGACCCTCTGCGGCCAGGGCCATGGCGTGGAGCACCTGGGGCGCGGATGTTGTTGGCTCCCCCCTCCCCCCCAGGGAAAGGTTGTAAGGGGGGGGGTACAAGAGAATTTCGAATTTTATGAGAGCAATCTAACAATGCTTTTTTTTATGGGAGAGAGCAAATTTTTCTTAATGAATCATATAAATTTCCTCCTTTTAAATCGTTTGAAACTTTCTGAGTGTCGAAAAGAACGTTTAAAAATTTGCGTCGAGGGTTTCAATTTAGCTGAATTTGCGTTTTTATATTTTTAAACGATTTTTGAAGTCAGCGATTGTAACAAGCCATCTAGTGGTACAGATTCGCGTTTAAAAATGGCTGATGCAGAGTAAAGTGTGAAAATGAATGAGCATAAATTCGGAAAAATCGAAACCCTGAGTGATAATGTCTAAACGTTCCTTTCAACACTCAGAACGTTTCAAATGATTTAAAAGTAAGAAATTTAAATGATTCATTAAGAAAAAATTGTTCTCTCCCATAAGAAAAACATTGTATCCGTGCTTTTTCGCTTTCGCGGCAGTAATTCTGACGTCACGCGCCAATGGATGGGGCATGATGGGGCTTACCCCGAGCGGGGGAAATCTGCGCAATGACTGACTTATACATATGGATGGATCTTGATTTGGCCTCTGGTCTACACTCTCTCGCAATTCCTCTCGCTCAGTCTATGACAACCACCCGTTTCAGTCAAAAGGATCCCTCTATTTTCCATTTGTCTACAGCTCTGTCTATCAATGTCTATAATCAGCCCGCTGAACGGGGTCAAGCCAGGACAGCTTTATGAAGAAGCGGCAATCGGATAATGGCAAAGCTTGGGTGCTTTTCTTCGGCTGTCAGGGAAGTCAGTCGAGTCAGAATTAATGTGCACAGCTTAATTTTGGCCGATAAATAATGAATGAGCTCGATTTGAACGGGGGAAAGGCCCNGGGGGGGGGGGGGTGTCATCGATCGATGTAACGCGGTAACGTCCGGTATGTACCGAGGCATCGCTGACGAGGCGTTGTCAGTCCGCCTTTGACTTCGATTAGTCGCTTTTCACAGCGAATGAATATGGAAAATGATGAATTGGGGGATTGGATGTAAGGAAGATGTTAAGCGCTTTGGCTTGGGGTCGAAGCAACTTATTGTTCTCACAGCCCTACCACCGGTAGGTATCAAGTTTCGGAAACAAATAGCGGAGTGCAAAACCACATATCTCCATTGCGATGTTTCAAAATTTCGGCTCCTGTATTTTTTCGAAGAGAAACAAGCCAATTTAATTGCTTATTGAGATATAACTCAATACATAGCTTATGGAATATTCCGCTGACAGAGAAGACATACCTATCTATCAAGGAATTTTTCAAGAAAGTACGTTGACCAGTTTTCCAAAGTAAAAATAAAATATGATAGGAAGTCTGCAACGTTGCAAACGGAGATACGTGTTTTCGCTTTTTACCCATTGATATTTATTGCTATTTTTCAACCTCAGTCTCCAAGTAGCAAAATGCAACGAGAATATTAAAACGAAGTCACAGTTGGACTTACTTTATTTGCAATATTTTGCTATGAAATTTTGCAATATTTTTACATGATTCGGTCAATGAATGTCGATTTTACGCGATTAGATAATGAGTTCATGTATCAGAATGTTACTCAGTTATTAAAGTTGCGATGCAAAGGAATATTGCGACTCCTTCCAATTTTGTTATAATGAATTTCGACAAGGAAAACCCCTTCAATTAATAGATAGGCAACATGCATGGCCCTCCGATTCAGTAGAGTCCACTCCAAATGCGTTTACGCACACGGAAAAAAGTAAATTGCTGTTTTAACAATTCAAAAAAAAACTCCTTGTCCCTTGTTGTCAAAAAAAGTAACTTCAACGTTTCAACGTAGATTTAACAACAATAAAATGCTACTTTAACCACTATAGTAAGCTAATTTAACCAAGGGCCGTAGGAAAATCTCGTCATTTAAATACAGAAGATTCGAAAACGCCTTCAATTGAAGCGTGATACCTCACGCGTTCAAGGAATTTCATTCGCAGTCACATTTGAATTATCTAAAGGTTTCAATGGAAAATAAGTTTTCATAAGTCTTATTGAAAATAAACATTATACTAAAGGAAATTTTTAGTATTATTTTCAGCTCATATTAGAAACATCTTACATTTCGACGGCCAAAGTGCGAAACCACATACATCCGTTTGCGATGTCATACAGACCTCCTGTCATACCTTACTTTTTCTTTAGAAACCTAGCCAATGTAAATTCTTGAAAACTTCCTTGAATTTTCCTCTTTCTCAGCAAACTATTCTGTGCAAGTCTCAAGCTATTAAGTTGGCTTGTTCTTCTTGTTACTCCTCGAAAATTTCAGTCATTTTAGATCAAATTAAGAATAAAATTTTCTAAAAAGTCAAAAGAAAATATTCAAAATTTTCCTGAAAATGCGGTACTTTTCGATAGAAATTTAGCAACGTCTGAAGGCTAATGCCACGTTCTTTCTCTACACGGGTGTGACTGTCTACTGGGAAAGAGGCCTTAATTGTAAGAGGACAAACTTTCCAGAGGAGAAATTTGAGATTTTGAAAGAAAACTCTCTCTGATGGCTTTAGAGATAAGACGCTTACGGCTTGATTCACACCAATTTCAATAGAAGGCGAAAATCTAAAATATAATCCATTGATTTTGCATCTATAGAATGGCAGAGTAGAGGTTAAAATAGTTCTTCCTTGAGATTGGAGACGTTTTCCGCATTACTAATGTCAAACTACTGTAAACTTTATTGCGGTTCTTTTCAGAGCTTCCTGTCCTAAAATTTTGCGGAGCACTCCTTTATGCACTAGCATCGATAATTGAATCAGTGAGAATGAAAACACACCAACACAAAAAATTAAAATAATTAAGACATACACAAAACTGGAGAGTAGGTGAAGAAGTTAGTCGAAGAAAAAGGTTTTTGGTGCCAAAAAATACATACTTAAGGACACTGTAAAGGCCCAAGTTGGAAGAGATACGCTAATTTCAATGACCTTTATGAAAATTGACTGTTTTTAATGAAAATGTAGCATTTTTGAGTTACCGGGTCGGTGTGTTTTCGTTCTGACTAATTCAATACTGTTTTAATTTTTAGTGGATTGAGGTACTTTTTCCATTGAAAAACGTGATTAAAGAATTAAGTCAGAATCGAAACTAATGGCAGTTTATTCATATTTATTTTTCAGTTGTAGGTTTAAGATCCAATCAAAAAGGAGAGGAGGACTTTCTAAAGTTCCCCTGTTTCAAACTGGATTAGTGTATTTAAGCATGATGTCTTCAGTTCAAAAGAAAAACACATTACTTGCAAATCCGGGGTTTCGATCAGAATGGATATTTTACACAGGAGTAAAGACACAAAATTGCCAGGATTGACATTTGAGAAACATAAAGTAGAAGCTTCTTGAATAGATTCTACTGGGAAATGAGCTACAGTCCAGTTATAAAATTATGATTGAACCAAAAAAAAAAAAAAAAGAGGGAAAAAAAGGTGAAACAAAAAGTTCAAAATATTTCATTTAAGACTAGGTCTCAATCACAACTGTGCATCACAGACACATTTGTGGGGGAAGAATGCATTTGTTATTATATTCGCTAAAATAATTGAAAATTTTGTTTAAAAATTAGGTAGTCTTACAAAGGCATTTAACACGGCTTCGCCCTCTTTGGCATCAAATGCTCCAAAAATTACTAAATATAACAGTAGAAAATAGCCTAAGATTTAAATAAATAAATAAATAAATTACTTAAAATACTTGATAACAATACTTTCCATTGTGGGTAGGCACATACGTCCAGAGTACGGTTCAACTACAAGAAACACCCAAATTCTCATGGTGTAACTACATGACATGGTAAAATAAATTAAGAATATGAAGAGGAATAAATTCCTGGAAAACAGATGGAAAGCGATAGTCAGAAAGTTCATGAGCTAATAACTGATGTTTCCTTGACTACTATTCTTAAAAACTGAAGTTGTTAGGTACTGACAGAATAAATGTTCTTTTTATTCAAAATAAGTCTATGTCTCTCTCTTTCTCACAGTAATCTAAGACAGAAATCTTGGAAAGTTCAATATCTTAAGGATGAATTCATGAATTTTTTCGATACACATGTATTTCATTCTAAATCATGACTAATTTTTAATTCATCCAATACATCATAGAAAAATTAAAGCCACAGGAAAGAAATATTTGTCTCATCGAATTTCAAAATTAACTTACCTAAATAGGGTCATGAGCATCATATGATCCAACTACGTTTCCTCTACAAAATTGTAGGAATTAATCGATGAAATTTAATTTTTCATTTACCTATTTTTAGACGTATGACTTTAAAATTTAGTGATTCTTTCTAGAGAAAGGCTTTGATTTTTTAGACGTAGTCCGAGAATAACTTGGGCAATCTTAAAAATAGACATGTGTTTGAGTATACCGAAAAACGGCTGTATACAGCTGTGCAGATTTATTCTTTCGGATAAAAAGTTGATGTACCAATTCTTTTAACACTCACTGGGATCGATTGATTCTGGTTAAAGAAGCCTTAGTTTGCATGAAAATGTGTACCTATTTAACGTTTCAGCAGAACCAGAGGATTCATTCCCGCACATTGATTCATGAGGTCAGTTAAATTGGTTTTCACAACAACTAAGATATTTGGAGTACTGACCGTTAAAACTCCGTTTTGAAACTGATTAACTTTGCTTCTAACTTCCTTACGATACTTTAAAACAATGGCAGTTTGCATTAGTTGAGAGTTCAGTTTCCCTGTATATTTGATGACAAATCGTTGGTTCAATAAGTTTATTCCACTTTATCTCAAATTAGGAAAACTGATGATGAACAGAAAAAACTTAATCCCACCTATTATCTAGCGCATCACAAGTCTGCTAAAAATTTATCAAATACGCAGCCATAAGAACATGATAAAAGTCTGAAAACCTAAACCAAAAGCTGCCCGATAACTTGTCATCATAATTCACTTTGGTATCTTAGACTGATTGAAGCAATTGCAATTTCTTGAATAAAAAATTATTTCAGGAGTGAAACACCTGATTTCAGTTATAGCATGAGATACTGATTATTTTCTGGAGTACAAGATTTTTATCCCTTTAACCTCACCCGAGAGAGGCAATTACACCATCATTAAAGTGCCGATAAAGCTTGACATCAGAAATGTAATTACCCTTAATCACTAGGAAACAAAAGAAAAAACATTATTTATCGAAATAATAATGAAAATAAATAAAAAAAAACAGGGATTTTGGCATTGATAAAAACACCTCGCAGGGAACTTCTTAGTTGCTGAAATCCGCAATGCTGAGTTACAAACCAGACGAAACATGCTTAGCAAATTATCTGATTCAGGACGTATTTTTTTGCTTGGCCCCTTTCTTCGAATTGTCACCGGAGGGAGTGTTAGCTTCTTTCTTTGAGCTTTTAGTTGATGGTGTTTTGGCGGCAGCATTTTTTTGCTGGCTATTTTCTTTATTCTCACATCTGAAAGAAAGAAATAATTATCTTAAAATTACTGGCCTACTTACAGCCTTTTAAATAATGTCATTGCGGCAACTTCCCAGTTTTGACGCAATGCATTCAAGTCCAATCAGTATATTTCAAGTTTTAACTGTAGGGTCGATTATTTTGGAAAAATCAAAAGATCATTCTTGAGACCAATTACTGAGGAATTTTTTAACTGAGAATTAGGGATCAAAAAATTATTTTAATAAACTGAAGGTAACGAGAACTAAACGAAACGAAATAAACAGGAAATCGAGGTAACAAACTGTGAGCTAAATAATGAGATAAAGAAAGCCGGAGAGTGAAAAACTCAAACTCACAAAAATAAATTAAAATTGCTGAAGCGTTTCGGCAGCCTTGATAAGAAAGATCAGAAGGAAAGAGATGAGTGGAATAACAACAAACAACAACTAGTCGGAGATTTAGCCTTGAAGAGGGGGCCGGAGAGCCCCAAAACACGTCGGCAATTTTAATTTATTTTAATGAGTTTGTGTTTTTTGGTTTTTGAACTATTTTAAATTGATCATCAATATCCATACATTGAAATCTGTTGAAATCAGGACTTCTAAACTTATTTCAAGGTTTCAAAGGTTGATTTTATGGAGAGATATTTCTCAGTGACCTATTTAGAGACTGAGATTCCAGTTTTTTCAAAATAATACTCGCAACTGGTAAAAAATGCACAACATTACGACACTGAGAACTGTTGAAAAAGGATTCACTTAAATTATTACTGACTCAAAACTTGATTTTCAGCTAAATTCTCTTTACTACCTTAATGGTTGGACACCTTTTTTATTCCTCATGGCAGTCGACTTAGAGTACTGAGGTTAGTTTCTCAAGCTAAATAATTTCATTCATCAATTCCTTTTTATTCAAACAAAGATCCATAACTGGATACTATTTCTGCAATAAATATTAGTATTTGATTGTTACTACCAGATGGATTTCAAAGATGGCTTAGAGGGTAAGCCCGATTTTTTTCCTCAATAACTTTTAAAAATGAATATCATTTTTTAAAACTGTAATTCAGCTGAATTAGCAACCACTCAAGGATCCCTGTTTTTAACCCTTACCACTCATGTGTCGGATGTGGTCCGACATTTTTATTTTCCCGTTCCGATCATGTGTCGGACCTGATCGGACAAACCTGTTCACCTCACGTAAGCTCATGTGTCGGACGTAGTTCGCCGCCTCTGTCTTGTGCAGCGATCTATCGGATGTTTGGAGAACTACGTCCACAGCTGTCAACAACTGCGTCATCGCACTGTTTTGCGCTAAATTGCGCCTAACCTCTCTTGTGTTTTCGGTGTTGTCGGCCCTCCAAACTGCCATTTTAAATATGATCTGGGGGAGAGGTTAGGTGAATTTAATTGATGAGTGGTAAGGGTTAAAGACTTTTTACGAATTTTTATGAGAAAAGAAAAACTTTTTGGGAAATAAGAAATTGGAAAAGTACATTGTATACTCACTTTTCATCTACTCCATTTGCTGTTGCTTCTCCTTCTCTGGTTATAGTTACTTTCAGCTCTGCGCCTTTTAACTGGAAAAAAAAAAACAGAAAAAAAACATTACGATTTAAAGAAAAAACTAAATAAAAAGAAGAATTCCAAGTACCCAGGAAATACACTCTGGTTCAGATGGGTTCAACCTTGCCTCTTGATCAATATTTGATACTTTGCCTCAGAAGAGAAAAAAGTTGAAAACTTTGACCGTTGATTTCAATTTGTCCCAACCTTACAGCCATATTTGCAATTTGTTCCGCAAAAAAGTCAATTTTCACACCCACATGTGCAATTCACCCCACTACTTGAAATAGTATGGGGGAAAACTAATGATTTCAATTCAGGTTTTAGCTATTTCCATGAAGCTGCCTGTACCAACAACATGCAGTATATTGGTTATTCTATTAATTATTATTATTTTTTTTATTAACATTGCTACAACAACACACTTCTTGTGGGATCATGCAAAAAAAAAAAAAAAAAAAAACTGATAATCTAATGTAGGACGTTACCTGCTGTGTTTCTTCTATTACAAGGTTACCGCTGACTGCATCACTACTGAACGGTGCTTTGATGGTTTGTTCAATGAATGATGCATATTCTGTGCAAATGCGTTCCAATTCTGACTTGGCTGTGACTGAGTAGAAGACCTTGATACTGTCCGTAGGGACAAGATGCGCCCGTTTCCTCAGTTTCTGAACTCGGTTGATCACCTCCCGCGCAATGCCTTCGTCCTGCATGCTCTGATCGGGCGTCACGTCAAGCAGTACCAAAACCTGAAAAATTTGATGTTCAACTGAAGGCCAGGAAAAAATATACAGCGTTTTGCAGACAAATTTGAACACGTATTTGATTGGCTAACATTTTGTTACTATTTCTATTATGTTTAAAAATGTAACTTTTTTAATATACTCATAGAATAAAGTGAGTCACCCTCTGTAGAAATTAATTCCTCATAAAATAAATAAATTTTCGCCCTAACTTGGATTTGTTTATTGGTTCATGGACCAAACCCCTACACAGTTCATGGTATATTCTACATAATGAATTTTCTATGTTCTTCTGGTACTTGGGCTAAAATTTCAATGTCCTAGTACGGCGATAGAGTATTTAATTTGAAATTAAAACCATCCAGACAACCAAAAACGTGAGCTTTAGCTAGTTAGTACCACAAGGGACCAAAATCCTCATTGTTTCTAGTTTATTATCCTGAAATTCCTTGCGATTTTCATGAATTTTACAGCCAGATTGGATTTGCTGCATTCTCCCAATTTTCTTTGTAGCTGAAAATCCTAACGCTACTACAAGGAATAGGTTCAAAATTGAGACCATGGGCTTTCGAGGACTTTTTAAGGAGATTTAATGAATGGAATCAAGGCTTTCAAAAGATCTTTAACAGCCTTCTGAAAAAGTTTTAAGGTATTTCAAAAACATGCAAACAATTTTTAAGCCTTAGAGAATGTTTTAAAAATGGAAGTTTCCTCTTCCCGTATTTTATCTCTCTGTGAAATAAACATGAAGAAGCAAATGAATGGCATCATGGACATTTAAGGACTCTCCGATTAGGGAAAAAATCCTGATTTTTGAGATGAATGAGCATGAAATAGCCAGGTGACATAATATTCGAGGACTCTCAAGAGCCTTTGGGCAATCTTTCAAAATTCAAGGATGGCTTTTAAAATTAATGACAAATTTGATTTTAAAATCTTCAAAGGCATGAAAATTTTTTAACAACAAATCTGGAGGAAAATCACTCACATCATTCTCCGAGTGGGTTTCATACTTCTCAGACAGTTCCTTGGCCGTTGGTCCTGTAAAACTGAACATGATCCTAATATCGGAGGGCTCGAGCTTGTGTCCTAGGAGCTCCATGGACCCTGCTTTCAAGAACTCCTTTACTTGATCGTCACTCAGCTCTTTGATAGCTGCCATGACTGGTTTGAATGCGCCCTTCAGGCGTGCACCCAGCGTTTTATGATCCGGTTCAGCGTGAAGAGACACACCGTATTTGGCCTTCTCTGATGAGAGGGTCACTTGCCGCACATTCAACTCCTCCATGATGTAGTTCTGCAAGGACTCGATATCCGCCAAACATGTAGGGTCGTTATGGATGATCACAACCTCGGGCAGTGGATACTGGCAACATTCAGATTCAGTTATGAGATCAAGCATGATCAGGTTTTTAATTTGAAAGCTGCAGATTGGGTTTTTAGTATTCAGACAGGCCTGTTTAGTAAAAGTAATTTTTCTGGCTTTTGACTAATTTTTTTCCAGAGCAGAAAAACAGAAAGGACCCTGTACACCTCTTATGGGAAGCTGCACCATGACGGATTGCCTTCTGACTTATGTCATTTGATTCTCCTCAAGATGCTGATCAAAAGTTATAATTGCGCCAACTTTCTACGATGCACCGTTTTCACAAAAAACCTAAGAGAAGATTCAATTATTCGGCGATAAAAAGCCAGAAAGATTCCTCATTTCAGTACTCAAGTGAACTAATCAGGGGAACTCCCGCACTGAGCGGCAGTCTTATCTCGGATTCCGCTCGCCGTTTTGCTCGACCATCCAAATCAGATTCTTGAGGAGCATAAGAACAGGAAAGTCTGAACGTCTAACGGGCGAGTGCGCAGGGAGATAGCCCCTGAGTCGGCAGGTACAGATAAGAAGACGGACACGCGCTACGTTTTTTCCTTATTTACATCGGGCCGGTCCTCAAATGCTTTGTTCTTTTTTATTCATATAGTCGCCGAATAATTGAATCTTCTCTTAGGTTTTTTGCGAAAACGGTGCATCATAGAAAGTTGGCGCAATTATAACTTTTGATCAGCATCTTGAGGAGAATCAAATGACATAAGTCAGAGGGCAATCCGTCACGGTGCAGCTTCCCATTAGAGGTGTGCGGGGTCCTTTCCTTTTTTTTTTTTTTAAAAAAAAAACCTGATTTCAGATTGGAATTAAGTAGAGATTTTCTCATCACTTTTTAATTTCAATGCAGATACCTATTATGATCATTCATGAAGAGGGGAAAAAAGTAAGAGCCCTTAAATGGTGGTTTTCAAGAGCAATATGTACATTTACATACCTTGATGGGTATTGTTTTTCTATCCCTGATGATTCGTCCAAGCTCAATGGCAGTTTGCATATTACTCACAGCTCTCTCGATACCTTTATCGATTAAATCATCCCTGAAAAATACAAATGTATCCATGAGTTAGAGATTCAATTCCATACATTGCAATTTTATGCTGCTAAAATAGCAACTAAGCACAAATTGAGATACAAAAAAAATGAAAAAACAACAATCAGAGGTTTCATCACACAGGCACTATTGTTTTCCTAAGAGATAAGTATCCTTGAAATAATTTGAGAAAAATATTTGCATGATCTGAAAAAAAGGATGGGTTTCAGCAGTCCATGACTTCTCTTAAATAAAATTAAGAATTTCCGAGAGAGCTTCAAAGAGTTCTAGTACATAAATGCAAGGATTTTCAGGGGCTTTTAGGAGACTTTCAGAAAAATCTTTCAAGAACTTTCAACAATTTTCAGAAAAATTTCATAAGTTCTAAAGTATGGCCACAGAGTGGCAGTTTCTACTTCCTACACTTTTACTTTTCACCATACAATATGTTGTCTCCCCGAGAAAGGTGCATATCTAGCTTGCGTTCTTTCAGTATTTCTTACTGTTACCGACATTTTATTTATTTATCAGAGAACTGTCTCAAAAGTTTACCAAAAATTTCCAGTGATTTTTTTTTTAACTCTTGCTACACAGAACACTACAATTTTCAGACAAATCTGTGCGACGATTCTCCCATGATAAATTAAAATGCTTGTTGAAATCCTGAAACAACGCAGGCAGGATACATTCTTCCATGCAAGAGACAACAAAATGCATATCGGTACCTAAAGTAAAAAAAAAAAGTGTGTATCTAAATTGCAATACTTAAAAATCTCTGTTAGCATTTTATTTTTTTTGGATGAAAATTAGGGAAAACATCTCCTTAGATTTTCTGTGAATATTTTTAATTAATGAGGAAAATTCATAGGAAATTCCAAGAGAAATTGTTGATTAGTTTTCTTTTTTAAAAAAACATTAAAAAAGAGCGGAGATTTGATATTCTGTAATCAAAAATACGCATTTTTCACTTTAAAAGGACGATAAGTTATAAATGGACAGCACTGTTTAATATTTCAGAAGTTGCTATTACAAAATAGTGTATTTTTCCTTCGGAAAATACACTAAAAGGAACAGACCAAACTTCTGAGTGCTCACAAATAAAATAAACAAGTTATGTAAAAATCAAGGAATTCTAGGTACATCTGGATTGCCCAAAATTCCGGGGTATTCAAGAACTAAAACATTAAAAAAATTGCATATTCAAGGATGCTTCAAGGCATTACAAACCCCGAGAGGTGGGTATAATATTCGGGCGAAAAAACATCAAGAGCAATATTCAGATTATTTACAAAGGAAATTTTTTTTACCTAGGTTGGGGCATCATAAGGAAATGAACACTGCATTCAGCAATGTTTGTGAGATTCCTAAGATTTTGGTACAATAGCTCACATAAAAATGGCGTGTACGGAGCCATCATTCTGACCATTGTGAAGAGGACGGTAAATAAGGTTCCTAATGCTTGCTTGCAATCTTCCAGATCAGTTTCACCCTTCAAAGAATGAGAAAATAGAAATTAGGCAAAAAGGAGAGGGCAAGAAAGATAATTGTCCATGATCAAAAAAACCAAAAATGACCAGCATAGTAGGTTACGCCACTATGGTACAAAAACAAAACTAAGGGAAATGCGAAGTATTAAACAATTTATCTTCCACGATATTTTAAACAAAGCATCAACGCTATCAAGAAAAATAAATTTTTAACCACTATTTGGAATCCATCCTGGAGAGGAGGTAAAGTTAAAGAAACTAGTTTCAGATTTTCAAATAAATTTATTTCTCGAGTTTGAGTTTTTTAATTTTGAATTTTAGACATGTATTTTATTTTCATCTTATAGAAGTATGATTCTATCATAAGACAAAAATTTATTTGAAAGTTTGTAAGTTAAGCTTTACAGATTTCCTGCCAAACCACCCTTTCCAGCGATAATTTTCAAAAAATTTTATAAGGAGGAGGGTTTTTAAAGTTGTTTAAAGGATCATCTTACCTTGAGCCGTTTCCTGTTCATTCTGACGTACCAATTGGTGAGGTTGTCAATAAACTGAACTAGGCGAGGAACAACAGTGTACAATCTATACGCAGACATTTCCTGCTTTACGAAGCTCAGCAAAGATTGCGTGAAGGACAGAATCCACCTATCCATCAAGTTTGTTGATGTTTCTTCACTGGTGAATGTTAACGGTATGTTTTCTTCCTGTAAAAATTCTCAATTAAGTTAGATTTTAATTCTAAAACAGGGAATAGAGAAAAACAAAAATGAGGTGTGCTTTTGATCTACAGAATTTTTTTCAGAAAATTGTGTACAACAGCATTAGAAGAACAATAAAACATTTTGGAGCCTTTTAAATTTTTAAGGTAGATCTAGTCTTACTGAAAAGCACTAATAAAGTTCAAAATGGACCTTCTTAAATTTCAAAAATGAACAGTGGACATGTCGCAGAAAGACTTTAGATTCCGCTCATATATTAATTTTTGGCTAAAAATAAAAATTGTGAAGCTTTAAGTAAACAATCGAAATTGAAAGACACTCTTAGTGGTGACAACACTGTGAAGACTGGCCGTTACTTTGCACTGGCACCAAACGATAACAACAAAAAAATATCTCAATGGCGCCTATAATGATAAATAATTTAAAATGGCTTTCTCCTGGCTTTTATCAGTGTTAAGCCAGGAGAAAGCCATCTATAGATGTAACAATTTGTGTGGTAACTCACAGATTCATGAGTAACTTTGAAAGGGAAGGAAGTACGAAGGTTATACAAAACTATGAGTTTTCCGCTCACAGAAATTTACCTCAGGATACACAAATCAATCAAATAATTTCATACTGTTGAGCAAAGACGATATTGATTTCCGAATTTATACATTCAATTTATTGCGGAGAATTTTGATGAAAATACTCATTCATTTGGAATGTTAGCGGCTGAGTGAATATTTTACCTTCTTCATTCTTTCGATGTTTTGAATGAGAAATCGGTAGGCATTGTACCACGGCAAGAAGACGTCTTTAAGTACATCTCTCACTCCTTCTTCTTTGAAACGAAGGTTTTCTGCCCTCACAACTGGAGAATTGATTAGATACAGCCTAAGAGCATCAGCTCCAAATTTGTTAACAACCTGGAAAATTTGAAATTACTTACATTAACTTTGAAAGGGTATATTGAAGCAATCACAAGTAGAGAGGTTAAAATTGTTGAAAGACTTCTGTTTCAGCGAAAAAAGAAAAAAAAAATCATATTTGTCGATAGAATAATTACTGTGCTGATGTCTAAAGTCAGAAAATGTGTGCCTCTAGCCCCTGGTTGCAGCGAGGTGCAATTTAACTCATGGTTCCTTATTTTGAAAGAAACCTAACCAACAATTTTTTTCAAACACGATTTCTGTAAATTTCTTGAACTTTTTCAAAAATATTCATGGAAAATTTTAAAAAGATACTTAGGTTTGTTTTCTGTATAAAAAATAAAATGGAACCAGAAATTTTGAAATGTTGTAGCTAAGATATGCATTTTTCGACTTGAGCCACTGATATGCTACTTCTTTTACTGGACATGATGATTTTCGTTGGTTCAAATAACAGAAAACACTGAAAATGGGCCTGTTGCAAACTTTTGCTAGAGCAAAACTAAGAGTTGTTTCTTATAGATAATGCCTCAAAAATCACGATGAGCGCATCGGCAAACTCTGAAATGCACTCATAACTTCACAAACTGCGTAAGAAATTTGCGGTTTTTTGAGCTTCCCGCTTCAAAAACGATACTACTGCACAGGTGAACATTTTGTAAGAGGAGTCGTTCCATCGTCGGCAATAATCATCATAGCCGACGCTAATCCGCTAAAACACGTTTGATGGGACGAGATAACACCTGAACTGGATTAGACCAGATAACAATCGGTGTGTTAACGTTCATATTTTCCACGCCCGAATTGATTGACCTTGAACTCTCCTTGAATTACGCGCGGAACTGCGTGCAAGCGTCGGCCATGATGAATATCGCCGACGATGGAGCGACTCCTCTAACAAAATGTTCACCTATGCCGTAGTATCGTTTTTGAAGCGGGAAGCTTAAAAAAACGCAAATTTCTTACGCAGATTGTGAAGTTATGAGTGCATTTCAGAGTTTGCCGATGCGCTCATCGTGATTTTTGAGGCATTATCTATAAGAAAAAACTCTTAGTTTTGCTCTAGCAAAAGTTTGCAACAGGCCCATTGTCAGAAATTGAAAAAAAAAACTCAAAATAAAGGTTCAAAATTGGATTTTCATGAACTCGAAGCTCACATCCGAGAAAGTCGAAACCCATTTATTTCACTTAATTCTTCGTTGATCAGAGATTTGATTTCGAATTTGCACTTTTCATTTTGCAACGCTCCCATGGAATGAAACCCCAAATTTTAAGAACAAGAGCGAGTCAATTAAATAAGACTTCTGTTTCAGAAAAAAAAAATCATACTTGTTGATAGAATAATCACTATGCTGATGTCTAAAGTCGGAAAATGCATACCTCTAGCCCCTGGTTGCAGCCAGGTGCAATTTAACTGCAATTTTATTTTAAATAAACCATACCCTGTCTGAAAAACAAACGAAATACTAAGATTACCTCTAAGGGGTCTGGATAGTTCTTTTTCCTCTTGGACATTTTTTGACCATCAGAAGCCAATACAAGACCATTTGCAATAAGGTTTTTGAACGGGGCTTTGTCGAAAAGTGCTGTTGAGATCACAAGTAAAGTATAGAACCTGTAAACACATGGAAAAAGTATTTATTTACGAAAATTTCGATAAAACTGATTACGAGGGTCATCCAAAAAGTAAGTTCACCCCTTTCATATCTCCGAAACTAAAAGAAATAAATCAAATCGGTAAAAAAGGACTTCTTACTTATATCCTCAGCTCTCCATAGGTACCAAGATTTTTAAATTTGGACCACTAGTTGCCGAGATATTCGATTTTTACGTGAACAACTCCCGGCCAGTTCCGTCCACCAAACGATGCGCTGCGATTCCTGTCACGCTACCTGAATTGACTGTGTTCCCCACACATCTACGTAGGAATAACCAACTCAAATATTCTAAGATTGGCTTTAAAACTATCTTTCCTTATTTTTCGACGTAATTTCCGTTCCTATAGATGCATTTTTCATAGCGTTTCTGAAGCTTCTTAATGCCATTCTCAAAGAACACTTTTGGTTGACTCTTGAACCAGCCATTGACTGCTTCCATCACCCGCTGATCGTTCTCGAAGCGCTGGCCACCTTGGTGCTTCTTGAGTTGCGGAAAAATATGATAGTCACTCGGGGCAAGGGCTGGAGAGTATGGAGGATGAGGTGACACCTCCCACGCAAATTTGTCCAACAAATTTTGGGTCTCTTTCGCCGTGTGAGGTCTGGCATTATCGTGAAGGAATAGGGGACCACGAGACAAGAGACCCGGTCGCTTGTTTCTTATTGCCAATCGCAACGAATTCAATATTCCACAATACCGTTGTGCATTGATTGTACACCCTCTCTCCAAATAATGGACGAGAGGCACTCCTTGAGAGTCCCAGAAGACAAAAGCGACGCGACAGCGCGCGGTGCATCTCATATTAGCGCGTCGTTTGGTGGACGGAAATGGCCGGGAGTTGTTCACGTAAAAATCGAATATCTCGGCAACCAGTGGTCCAAATTTAAAAATCTTGGTACCTATGTAGAGCTGAGGATATAAGTAAGAAGTCATTTTTTACCGATTTGATTTATCCCTTTTAGTTTCGGAGATATGAAAGGGGTGAACTTACTTTTTGGATGACCCTCGTACAATCACCATAAATAATGACGAATATTGAAGAAAGAAGACCTAAAACTAAAAAGCTATAAAAATTGTCTAATTAGTCCTTGACAACAAAACTTCCAAGGGTTGACTTGGCTTCTTCCCGTAGATGCACCTCTTCATCAGGTTGTTGCATCGGAAAAAGATTCTTTTATTGCCAATGATTTTGTAGCAGTTTCATAATACGCCCAAGCCACAGCTTCAAAAGCACATTTTAGTAAGGCGACAAATGAAATATCGAGCTATTAATCCACAAGTAAATATTGGATTAATCAGATGAATCAAATGGACTGAGTTTAACAAGCATCAAGTTTGCACCAAGAAAAGGAGGTTTGAAGTTTTGTTCCTCCATAAGACTCACTGTTAAAGAAAAGGCTTAAGAACTGTTTTTACATTTTAAATATGTTTTCTTGTCTTTGGATTTTTAACAAGGGATAGTGTTTGACTAGATGGATTTAAAACTACTTCAAAGTGACTTTTCACGGAAAGACGACTTGCTGTTTTTCTAGTAACTCAAGCCAAACATCTGGATTGGTCACCTTAAGAATCCCTTAATTACACGCAGTTGTACTCCATTTAGCTTTTTTGCTTTTCCTATCAAAATTTCAAGTTTTGAGACAGAAAATACGTCAAAACCACACAAATTTTTGTAGTACAAATCTTTAGACCTCAAGTGATTAGGGTCATGGTTACTCATATTTCACTCAGATCGAAGAATCTATTCAAACCTGCTTCTAAATTCATTCAAATGTATTACTTCATCACTGATTTTTTTATCAATTCAAATCAATAGCTTCATCTCTGAATAAGGAATTCAAATTGATTTCTACACTTCTAACTTACCTATTGATCGATTAATGCAGTAATCATTCAATTCTGGTTTATATTGATTTTTCCGACAGATGCACTTATTTGTAAATAATATTCTACATTTCTTCGAAATAGATCTTTTCAGATTTTGACATAAACAACAAGGCTTATTCTTAAAAATTATAATTATTAGGTTGGCAAAGTTAAAAAGTTGGTAACTTCTTGCATCTCGTATTTCCAGTGCCTTTTTTTGTGGTACGAGGGGCGTTCGTAAAGTGAGTATATATTTTTATTTTCTCCGGAACTAATGAAGATAAATTAGAACGGTAAAAAGTGTTTTAACCGTCATACTCTCAGCTTTTCAAAAAGTCTTCGTTTTTTAAATTTGGTCCACCCGTTCGCGAGTGACGTCATTTTTCCCGCGCCCATCTCTCGTCACCGCGTGTCCAAAATATTCGAATGCGGCGGAGTTCCTCAGACGAGTGAGTACGCACGTTTTCACTTTAAAAAAGGTTGTAACACCATTAATTGGATAAATATGTGAAACTTTCAGGCTTTGAATTGTCTTACCTTGCTTTTCGACATGATCTCCACCCAGTTGAACACATTTCTGATTATATGTTAGCAGTTTGTGGATTCAATCTTCAAAAAATTGCGCATATCCTGTCGTTGGAACCATTTTCTTTTACAACTTCTTGCAACTCTGCATCGGTGGAGAACTTTTGGCTACCCAAGCTCTTCTTTAACGCAGGAAAAAGATGGAAATCGCATGGAGCACGGTTCGGTGAGTACGATGGAAGAGGAAAAAGGTCCCATTTTAATGAGGCGAACAAGTCTCTAGTCACATGAGCCACATGAGGCCTAGCGTTGTCTTGAAGGAACCAAACTTGACGAGACGAAAGATCGGGCCGTTTTCGCTTGATCGCTGAATTAAGTTTTTTCAAAACTTCACAATATTTTGCGGCATCGATCGTTTTTCCTCTTCCTAAGAAATCGATCAGCAATATTCCTTGAGCGACCCAAAATCCTGGAGCCAAAACATGTACTCGTCTGAGGAGCTCCGCCGCGCTCGAATATTTTGGACACGCGGTGACGAGAGATGGGCGCGGGAAAAATGACGTCACTCGCGAACGGGTGGACCAAATTTAAAAAACGAAGGCTTTTTGAAAAGCTGAGAGTATGACGGTTAAAACACTTTTTACCCTTTTAATTTATCTTCATTAGTTCCGGAGAAAATAAAGATATATACTTACTTTACGAACGCCCCTCGTATATCTGATAAAGAGGAGTATGAGAGCTTTCATTTTCTACAAAATCTGAAAATTCAAAACTATGAATGATTTTTTTAGCTAGACATTTTACATGTGCCTGCAAGCTATAATTTCCATACATACCAGCCACGAGTTTGGTCAATTCCTTCCGCAATGAAGTCGGCCGGAAACCGGGAATCGAAGCTCTCTTTGTTTTCAAACGGGTAGTGAAGCTGAGCGTAAGGCATGGATCCTGATTCAAACCAACAGTCAAAAACTTCTGGGACTCGTCGCAATGGAGGTTTGCCTGGCCGTTTCGAGGGGATTGTTAAGTTGTCGATACTGAAAAAAAAACACAAGACAGAAAAATGCTTTACCTTCAATATATTCAGAAATATTCAATCAAGCTTTGGATGATGAATTAAAGAATGCTGGGTTTTGAAACAGACAGTTAGAGATCTGCTTAATATGAGTAGTAAAGAGCGTAATGCTTAAGGAGCTAAGATAATTTTGAAAAAAATTGAAATCCTGGGCATTTGGAAAAAAACTTGTCTTGCCATAAGCCTCGAGATGAAATTGAACAGTAGAGCTCATTTTTTGGCCTTAAAATTATAATTTCAAGTTTATTTGGGCAGCAATCAGTGAGAGGGAACCAAGTGAAATTTAAAGAAGAATTAATCAAAGGCAGTTTCAGGCTCATCAAAAAACCATACTTCCTCTTGCCAAAAATTTCAAGTCCACAAAAGAAAAACTTGGTACGCAAAAATTTGACTTGAAGTTGGTCTTTTCTATTAAGCTTGACGGAGGGTGAAACTTTGAGTCCATTTTTTTCAATTCCAAATCTAAGTCACTTGGTTTCTTTTTGCAAAATGCTGCTCACTCAAGTTATAAGCTTTCATGTAATTTTTCAACTTTAAACATATTTTTTTCAAAATTACAAAAATCATTGTTTCCCAGACAGAGAAAGGCAGCTCCATTGCAATGTTGCAAAATTAATTCAAGAACAGTCAAGGAAGTCCTTTTTACAGGACTATGTTTTCCATAATTCTAACTGAAATATTGCTGATTTTTGTGAATTATTAGAAGAAAAATCAGGAGAATTTCAGTTAAAAATGGTTAACAGTTTCCTGGTGAAAATAAAATTTAAGAACAGAAATTTTGCAACATTCAATTAAAGCGCTCTTTTGTCTAGAAAATGGTGAAACATGACTTAATTCCTCAACTAATAATAGAAAGAAAGAAAAAAGTTATTTTGTTTCACTGTATTGGCGCTCATTTTTATATGTTGTGCATGGGACTTTTCCTTACCGATTTTTGATTCTACATGAAAAATCGGTAATTCAGTTTTACACATGACATATACATTAGAAAATAAAAAACAATCAACAAAATACCCTTGTTTAGTAAAAATGGTGGTGCCTAAAACAAGACTTACTTTTCCCGATGGATATCTGTGACTTGCTGACCAGTTAATTTTATCAGTTCTTCGATGCTGCCAACACAGACAGTTTCTTCGCCATCTTCCGATACCCACAAAGGAATTGGAGTGCCCCAGTATCTGTTCCTACTCACAGCCCAGTCACGCGCCTCCTTCAACCAGTTTCCAAAACGTTTCTCTTTCACAAAATCAGGAACCCTGATTTGGAGAAAAACATGATTAGATGTTACTCAACGTTGAGAGCTGATTGTTTCTAAATTCCAAGAATTGGAAAAGAAAAGCGCAGAAAGAGAAAGGCGTAATTCAAAAAATACCATTTTATGATAAGCGATTTAAAGTTACAATCTACATGTTAGGTTTGGGGCTCAAAATTTTTGGGTGAAAATTCAACCGTATGTATTTTTGCTAATTGACAGATGGTAATCCTAAACATTTGTATCTTTTTTAAGTGGTGATTTTCAGACTTCCCGTTGCGCGATTCATTTTTCTCATGAAATTACGAAGAGAAAAGAAGTGACGCAATGCTATAAATTACCTTGTCTAGAGACCTTTTCAATTCATTACTTTGATGGAATGAGGTCTCAAGCCCTGTCAATCCTCACGAATGTAAAATATAAAACCGAAAATAAAAAATATAAAATAAAAATAATCATACCAGAATAAAAATAACTGAAATTAAATATAATATTGATACCAGAGTTGCAATAAAATGACTCATGATATTTTTACCAGAGGGAGCCAATTAAAAGGGGAGACTTTGAAGGTTTATCGAGTGTAGGGGCACGAAACGTACCAGTATGTGTTCTGATTGGCATCAAGTAGTTTCTGTCTGAGTTGCTGGACTCTAATAAACCAGGACGGGACAGCTTTGTAGATAAGAGGAGTGTCTGATCGCCAACAGAACGGATAGCTGTGCTTCACTGATCCAGCGCTCACCAGACGATCCACTGATTTCAAATGTTTGATGATGTTTTTGTCGGCATCCTGCAAAAAAAAATCCAATCATGAGTAATTCGATTGACTTTAGAACAAATTGTCTACAGCACAAATTCCATCGGAAATTACGATCTGAAGAAAAATACCAAGGTGCCCTCCCAATACCAGAATTGAGATTTTTCAATTTTTCAGGGTTGTAATTTTTTTAAGCCCTGCGATTTTTAATGCAAGATTTTAAATAAAGAGAAAAATACTGAGATTTCTTCAACGTCACTGAACATTTTTGCCACAAAAACATTTGAAAAAATTTTCCTCAAAAATTCTTAACAACAATAGGAACTCGAAATTGTCTTCCCAAAATTTATTTATGTACACAAACAAACTCAGTATTACTTTCATAAATATTCCGCAAATGACTGTAATAAAAAGATGACCTAAGAAAAATTCAAATTAAGTTCAGGGGAGAAATTAGTCTCAAAGTGGTAGAAGAAAAGATTTACCGTTTCTGGACCGGATTCCTTGATTTTTCCCTGATATTTTTCATTCCCCAATGAATCCTGGATTTACCTAGTCTAGACATCATGGACTCACCTTGACATACTGTCCGATGAAATCAGTGACAGGCTCAACAAAGCGACCACTGGCATCGATAGGACACATAACGTCCCTGTCTTTAGTGATGACACCAGCTGCTAGACACACTCGATGATCGTCCTCTCCGAAATATGGTGCTTGATGTACGATACCAGTACCAGAGTCTTCCGTCACATACGTATCAACTAATACTTTGAATCCAGTTGTTTCCTGAAATAAACACACTTATTCTTACAAAATGTTTCACTTGTCAGATTTGCATTTTAATTTACGTTTTCATTTTAGAACATATTTATTAGACAAATAAACTTTTGTGTTTCATTTTGAAACAATATTCAGAGGATTTACAATCTACGATTATTTAGAGAATAAATCCTAGCATGCTATTTTGAAACTTGATTCTGTGAATTACTCCTGCCTTAAAAAATTTCAATAGATGTAAAACGTTTATCTTTTTGCAGTGATGACAAGTTCTAATTAATAAAGGATTATTTAAAAAAAAAAAAAAAAAAAAAAAAAAAAATACCCTATCACATTGAATGAGTCCATGATTTTAAGTAAAAATCTTTATGTTTGTTGAAATACTTTAAAAATAAGAAAGGTAGGGTATTTTACAATATTTATATCAAGTTGTGCGAGATTCTCTGCTTTTGCGTTTATGATGAGAGTTATTGTGTAGATTTAAAACTAGATTAAAAGTTTTTGGTCTTTCTCTCTTTCTTTTTTTCTCAATAGATATTTTTCAATGACTTGACTATCGCAAGTAAAAGAAACCAAGCCACAATGTGAAAAAAAATCAGTTTAAGGAGTTCCGAGCTTAACTAGTTGTACAAATTTTTTCTTCAGAAAAGGTCTAGGTTGAGGAAATATATTTTGAATGTGAAAATGGGAGTTAGGCTTAATTGTTATTGATGATCTACTGTTTATTTTTTGATAATCCTGGCTTTGATTTAGAATAGTCAGGACCTAGCACTTTTCTACTATCATGTTACTTACAGTATTCGAGCGAAATTTTTTGGTGTTGATTTTCGATTTTTTTCCTTTAATCTTGACATAGCTTAACTCTGCCAGCTTCTGCTAGACTTTATCTAATTCAGCAATACATTTTTTTAATATAAATGAACAACTTACCTTTGCAAAGTATGGAAAGAGAGGTTTGTATTTTAACCCTTCCAATTTGCTGCCAGGGAATTTTTCTATCACAGTGTACTCGTCCTCTTTTTTGAAGACAGTCGAAACTCTAGCTTCCATTAGCACATACACTTTCCCGCTCGATTTTTCTGAAATAATAAAAGTATTTTTAAGATTCATGAACTGCTGGAAAGAGAAGAATCCTGTTACTACCAAGGAAAATTATGCTAAAAATGAACTTGAACTAAATTTGGATTTTTAATTTTAGTTTAGAGAAAAATAGATCTCATTTTTAGAAAATTTGGATGCCAGTTTTCATGACCTGGATTTTGATCGAAACCTTCACTTGGATTTTCTAAAAATAACGCTGACTTTTGCTAATTTATGAATGAAAGCTCCGTTTTTGGAGATTCAATTTACGGAAAAAGGCACCCATGGTACCTACTGAAGTCTTGGAGTCAAAATGTTTCTCCCACAATTCCCTGAAATTCCTTATGATTTTCTTGACTTTCCTTGACTTCCAGGTTGTCCTAACTTTCCAGATTTTTCAGACTGCTGAAAAGCCTAAAGTGAAGTCTTCCTATTTTATCTACACAAATGTTCATATGGTTACCGAATTTGCAAAGCCGAGATTCTACTGAGAATGCACCAAATAGTTTCTCAGTAAAAAAAGAGTTGGAAATTACTTGAACTGCAAAACAATTATCATCAAGTGAAGGCTGGTTGCAGCTCCACACCATGCTGGGTAGTTTGTGTTGCCGATACTTGATTTTCTACTTCTACTGCCTAAAAATCCGCTAAAATCTGCTAAAACCAATTAACAGATTTTGCGATTTAACAGCTTGATCCATTGGTCCATTAAAATCTGATAAGTTTAGTTTCCATTGTATAAAATTGGGACACTGAGACGAACTTTTGCTGTCCTTAATGTGTTAAAAAACACAACGTTTTCCCAAAATAATTAACTGTGCTAAATATTTCCATCAGACACAACATTTGGACGTATTTCTATCAAACAGACCTATGTACAAGTGAGAAATATGGGGTGTGTTCGTTAGTTCTCTTTGCGTAAGAGTGAATGAAAATAATAAAGCGCCAGTGACGTCAGCGGCAACAACGGAGCCGCACCAGGGAACAACACCGTCCCCGCCGTCGCCGTTTAACTCATGAGCCCTGTCCACAAGGCTCTCTTGCCATGCCCGCGGCTCATGAGTTCCGCATTCAGTTGCACATAGGTCTGTTTGATAGAATGCAATATCCCGCTTTTCCAATTCTTCAAAAGGAATCACGCACACTTTTACATTGCTTCTTATGCAGCTTCCATGAGCACACCCCATATTTCTCACCTCCACATAGGTCTGTTTGGTAGAAATACGTCCATTTTTCTTTAAAATCTACTTAAAGGTAGGTACCGCAAAGCCAAGAAATGAAAGCCAACCTTGAACTTTGATGTACGTTAAGTTGGGGTTAACGCAGAGAGCAAAATTACTCGGCAGAGTCCAAGGCGTTGTTGTCCAAGCAATTAAAGAAACTTCAGGTTCGTCTACCAATGGAAAACTAACGACAACTGAAACAATACAAGAAACATGTTTCAAAAATCTTCAAAATGCTCAAGATTAAAATTACGTATGATGTTCTTAGCCAGGCTAAGTTATATCTCCGCTACACAATCCATTAGCTGTAGAATTTCACCAGGAATCAAAACAAAGAAAAATCACAGGGGTAAAAAATGAAAGATGAGAAGATGACACAATCTTGGAGATAGCTCAATCCTTCAGGTTTCAAAAGTCGAAGAAATCAATTTTTGGAAAAATCAATTTTTTGCCACCGATAAATAAAAAAATTGTACTAATATTTTGGAGAGAATAAAATCAATGTGTACTAAAAAAATTTCCATTTGTACAGTGAGTTGCAGCAATATCATTGCGAACTTCAACCAAAGCGCTTTCTCACCAGGAAAAGGATCCAGGTATCTTCTGTCAGAAATTTTGATTTCATTCATATTATTTTAATCTGTAATTTTAACCAATATCCAGTTCAGACACTGGCAATCATATGAGGAAGGCGTAAAACAATTTGATGCGATGCAAACAATTGGCCTTAAATGGTTGAAATTTTTCCGTAGTCTCCAAAAAATAGTGCATCATTAGAAAGAGAACTGGAAAAGAACAAAATGTTCCTGCTTTACTAACTTTAAAAAAGCTGTGAGGCTGAGGAATCATATGGAGCTAAAGCATAAAAAGTTCCCTCCCCTTAAAAAACCCAATTTCAGTCAGAGGACATACTTAATAGCGCAAGTCTTTTATTGTAAAGATTCAGAAAATACTAATCTGCTCCAAGAATTTTGTCACATTCTGAGGGGAAAAAATACAGGCGGTTTTGATTATTGAACCAAAAAATTGTTATTTTAAAACGGTTTTAATAATTACTTCATTACATAGTTGTATTTACTACTGAGGGCACACATCTCATTTGTAAAAGGAGATTGATTTCTCAGTGCTCCATATTGCATGATACTGCTATCTGCAAATTCTGATTGAGGAAGAAAATAGTGTGAGTGAACTCCAGTTGCTCCATTATTGATAGAAGTATTTATACTGAGAAAATCACGAGGAACCTTTTGATTAAGTGAAAATAAGTCTGATTAAGGAAAAAAATAATTTTTGACACACAAAAAATGTAAATATTTTGATTGACACCCCCTCCCCCTATCCATAGATAAGAGTCGGACTCTAGTCGCCTGACCAGCACAAAAGTAGATAAGAGAATAAACATTGATAAAAAAGACCCCAGCATCCGTTTGTGGCAACTCATTTCGGCTTCATCAAACAATATCAGTAAATAGCTTCCCCTGTCTGTTCCGAAGCAATTTTAATCCGTGTTCACTAATTTATTGACCCTGTAAAATAGGCGTCCCAAGCAGAAACTTCAAGGATGCTCCGCAAGGAATTATCAAATTCATGCGTTAGTTTAGTTACTTCTTAAAATGAGTGAACAATGTGAAAGTTTTTTTAAAATAACATGAGAGAATTTTCTCGACTTGCAATCTTTCCAATGTTTCAGTTTACATGAATTCAATTTACTTGGAGAGTGCTTCAAAGAACTTGTGACGTTTAAAATTAAGATTTTGCTGTCATCGAGTGCTAAAGAATAGTATTATTTAGTCAGCTGACGTTGCATTGATATGGCTTGAACTTTGATCTGAAAAAGGTCTCACTAAAGTGACCTTCTCAATGCTTAACTTAGAAACACTAATCAACCTAATCAACATCCGTGATATCACAAAGAGTGTATCACTTAGCTATTTTGTAAGACTTGAAGCTACTGATCACTGGAAACTTCACGGATACATTGTTGTTCTAGGCTGTGTTTATTGCAAATAATGGTTCACCATATTGGTTTGTGCAATTATTTAATGCTGTAAACGGATTTGAAGCTAATTAGTAGTGCATACAAGACAGTTTTTTGTGCCGTGAAGTCTGAATCATTTAGCGCTTCTTTACTCCTTGAGATTAAATAAAAAGTGAATAAAGTGATTGAGTCAAGCGTTTAGCTTTTACAAAAACTGGAACACCATTGAAATACATCATACTGTGAGTTAACTGCGCAACATACTTGAAAAGCGAAACATATATTTCTGTTGACTAAAATTGAGGTATGGCAGCTGATAAATTGCAATACTACGAAACATCGTTCGATGCCCAGATAATCACACGCGTTGATGGAGAGGCAGAGTCATGCTGGACCTACATCGAGACTGATGCTGATAATGAGCCGATATACCAAGAGATAAAAGAATCAAAGGAGGGTAAAACGCTCAAACGACTTAAAGGAACCTTGCGCAAACTTATTGGACAGAAGAAAAGCTGAAGGCTCCTTGAAAAACGAGCTCTTTGCTACAATTCACTGAGCTTTTCATTCAACACCCTTATCCTTGAGCTTTGATCAAACTAAGGCTCATGAATTTCTACTTATAATTAGCAGAGAGTTGATAACAATGTTCGAGATAGGTTGAGGAAGAGCCCTTTAATTTGTACTACTATTATTGTAATTAACTATTATTGTAAATAAAAGCTTTATTTTTGTATCATAAGTTGTCTAAAATGCTTTTGCTTCTTACTTTTACTGGACTTGATTTTAAGTTGCACAATGTATCTTCAGATGGTAATCTCTCTTTGTTTTTTATAAAGGAATGAACGATAATTGGATCGAACAGGTCTTGGTTTACGATGAACTTGGACAATTACAAGACTTAAAACATTTGGTCCTGCAAATAGGCGTTTCTCTATCGGAAATTTTATGTTTCATAAGATTTTATTTCTTGTAATCAGTTTTGATGCCTCGTACTTCACCGATTTTCTTCAATGATTAGGTAATTGCTGGATTTTGTAGCAATATTTTCTGCTGCAGACTTCAAGTTATACTTCACTTTTTAATTGTAAAATTAATCAGCGTGAAATCTTGAGAATTTCTAATGATTCGTTTCTTTTTCTATCTGGAGAATAATTTGAAAAAATTTCCAGCTAAAAAGTTGGCTCGTTTTTCTTCAAAATAATAAAAATCAGGTATTTTGAAAAACTGCAATTCACATGTGTGGTTTTCAAGTAGGGCCAACAGTGTGCTGACCTTTCAGCGTGAAGCCTGAAATTATGATACATTGATTATTAAATTAGATTTACCTGCAGGGTCGACGACTTCCTTGTAGTTCTGACCGGACTCAAAGTTGGAAAGAGGCGTGTTGCAAGCAGTCGAGTACGGCATCACTTTCACTCCCTTGTAGACGAGATCTTTCTTCCACAATTCACTGAACACCCACCAAACGCTCTCCATGAACCATGGGTATAATGTTTTATAATCGTTTTTAAAATCTACGAGAAGAATTGAGAAAATAAAAAATAGAAGAGGACGCATTAAATTCATATAAATTCAATTTGAAGTGCATAAAACTCAATATAAAGGACAAAGTTCAATGATGTATGTATGTATAATCTGTTTTTACGGCGCGCTAAGGCGCTCGGCGACGCCTACTCTCCACAGGAATCTGTCATGGTAGAGATCCTCCGAAAGCTGGCATCTCTCCATCTCTTCACGGATGCCCTCTACCCACCGTTTGGCTGGACGCCCTCTCCGTCGCCTGCCTGGGGGGACCCACTCAAACACCTTCTTCGGCAACCTGGTATCAGCCATTCTCTGCACATGCCCATACCATACCAATTGCTTGGTCATGATATCGTTCAGTATAAGTTCAATGATTATGTTGTTATTTCGCTACTTTAAATTTTTGACAGGGAAAAATGTATGACTAAATGAATTCAAAACTATTCTCACTTCATTTTGCTCCAAAATGCAACTTAGTATTATGCTGTTTAACTCTGTCCACTTAAAATAAGATCGATTACTTACACAAGGAGTGTTTACAACAGATCCAGCAACTGTTTGTTTATTTACGTTAGGTCTCTCTCCCAGCAAACCTGACTGCCGGCCACCACGAAAAACTGCCCATGTACCCGGTAAATTTGAAAACGCGTGTTACAAATTACGCAGATTGCGTGCTAAGGAGTGGATTTCAAACTTTTCTTGAGTGACCAACTTGATTATCGAGCGAATTTATCCGAAGAAAGTGCATTGAGTTGGCTGTATTTTTTACATGGAACAGACCCATGGTTCTGAAAATCGAGGTGAAAATTACCAGACTTTTGCAAAATCGCAGCGAGTAATACATAAAAAAAAACAGTCATTACTGAAAATTTTGAAAAAATCGAGGTTTCTAAATTTGGAAGAAAAAGATTTACACAAAGGCGAAATTGAGTAAGAACTACACCCCAGCGATTTCTTATAATTACTGATATGATACTCAAATCAAACAGGAATTTTTCAACTTGTCTTTGAAATAATATTGGAAGACTTTTTGTCAACTGCAATCAGAATATAACGCTGACTCACCGATCCATCTGCCAATTCTTGTGACTATGATTTCCCACTCTGTGGCGTATCGCATGACAATCTTCCGACACTCGCTGTTGTACGCAGTGATGCCCATTTTTGCCACATCTTCTGGCCCTTTGATTCCGAGAGATTTGTCAATCTCATACTCCTTTGAACACAAGATTAAAACTCAATTTAATAGAAATGAAAAAAATTAACAAAAAAACATAAGTCCCTACACTACTAGTGAGTACATCCTGTCTTGGTGAATTTGACCTGTCCTTTTTCCTTCTAATACCTATCTTGATCGCATCTGTTAAAAATCTCTCCTTGTGATTTATTTTCATGAATAAAAACTAATTGAATGCTTCCAAGCAATTTCAAGTAGCTTTTTCAGAATGATTGAAAAAAATTCACATGATTTCAAGTGAAACTGTCAGTTAGTTTTCATTAAAAATAAAACATGAATGGAGGATTACAATACCATAAACTGAGGTATGGTTTTTTTTTACTTTCGCCACTCATATGTGACAGTGCTGTGGTTTGCATCTTGTCTGAAGTACTATTATGTATTATCAGATTTCACCTAATTGAGCTTAACGATATTAATCAGTGCCTAATCTCCTCTCGCACTTGATAATTTTATCACAGATAAAAGCAACATTTTGACTTAAAATTTTTCCAAAGATTCTTTATAATTTAGCGGAAGTTTATTGAAATTTTCATGAAATTGTGCTGTTAAGGTTCCTGGCAATTAAATGAATCATGAGAGGCAATTGGGCGATAAAAAATGTAATTAGGCTAATTATGGTAAAATCCATCCATACGGTTAGGGTACATACTAAGCTCAGGATTCAATCGGACAACCAAGAAAAAAAAATTGACGTACAACAGGTAGACCGTGGCAATCCCACCCAAATCTCCTCTCAACGTGGAAACCATTTTGATGTGCATAACGTGTGACCACATCCTTGATTGCTCCAGCTAAGATATGACCATAATGCGGCAAGCCTGTGGCAAATGGAGGACCATCGTAGAAAGAGTATCTGAAAAAATTGAAAAATTAGTTTATCATTAACTTTGAGTTTTTGGTAGTAGATAAGAATGTAGTAAATTCAAAGCAGTTAATCTCTGATTATTCTTTGAGGTTGACAAAACTAGGAAGTTATAATGTGCATTAACTTACATTAAAAAATTGCGTGGCCAATTTACAGAGGTAAAACCCATGCTAACTTGGAATATCGACAGTGTAAGCGGCAATCACATAGCTTGACTTGCTGCGTCGCAGACTTCCTGTCACACACTATTTTTTAAGCGGAAAACTAACCAGCAGCAGTTCTTTAAAACTGCCGTGATTTTTCTCCTTTCTGCAAAGAAAATTCTGCATAAACTTCAAGGCATGATGTCAGCTTATTCTCCTTTAAAAAAATAATATAGAGGCGGAGATTTTCAGACACCACAAACGAGATATGCAATTGCGGACTTACGCCATCGATATGTAAATTATATATGAATCTTGGGTAAAATCATGTACATTCAATAGGAATGATCCGGCGTCAATTGATGGTGTTGAGTTTAAGGACATTGCAAAGACAACCTTCAGTACAAACCTGTGAAAGCTTGAAAGAGAGATAGTAAATATGCACTGGCTTATCAACAATACACAGTTCACACTGATGTTCATTGCAGCACACAGCATGAGAGCCTCCGCCGGCTTGTTGCATTCAATTTATGGTTGATTTCATAGCAGCAACCAGGTAGGTTTTTTTCTGAATAAAAGTTAAAACTCCTTTATCTCAGAACTGCAGCAATGCCATTAAATGTTGATGCAACAGTTTGAGGACGTTTAAAAACTTGTGAAAAACACGTTACAGATGTTAAACTACAGAATTAATCAGAGGCAGAACAATTTGGAGGTCAGTTTCAGAGCCAATTTGTGGTTCAGCTTACAGAAATTCTGTCTGCTTACTTTTCGAACACACTGACTAGATTAAAATGACTGGTAATTTGAAAAACGAACCATTAACAGATGGTTCCTTCAAAGAACGCAACCATGGGGTCCCTAGACATGATGCGACACATCATCGCAACTACAGATAACGAAAATTTTCACTTGGTCGAAGGGAGACCTGATGCGTGATTGACGATGAACTAACCGGGTAACGAAGAGGAAATTATGAGAAAGTAAATAAAACTGAGAATTGTAATCGAGACATGATGGTACCTGGGCTTGTCTTTAGATTGACGAAGACACTCTTGAAATGCGTCGATTTCCTTCCACCAAGCGAGAATTTTCTCCTCTTCCTGCGGGAAATTAATTGATTCCGGCACCGGCTGCACCATTTTAATCTAGACAGTAAATTCCTCAGAAATATCAAACGATTCCCGTCATTTACGAAAACCACGACGAAAGTTCGAACTTTTGAGGTTAGGAAATTTGGAAGGCACGCGGCACTCCGGCCATGGACCAATAGAATAAATAAGGACTCCCAACTCCCTATACTACCCTGTGTTAAAAACCGTTAACGCGCGCTCGCAGCGAACCTGGCAGAGGGTGCGGTGAACTAACGCCGCAGCGGTCCACGATCGTACCTCTATAGTATGTTATTCCATGCAATGTTCTTTGTTTATCTATGATTTATTTATTTGTGTAGATACTTTAATACATTTTACTTTCGCAAACTAATGAAATTGTATAGATACATACCTTCGGCAGAGGTCAATGCGAAAGACTTTGATTTGAAGTATCTTATCAAAACACGAGCAAAGATGATTCAGTCAACTTCTGACGCAGAATCAAAGAGACTTGCTAATAATCAAATTAAAGGTAATGCTTGAAGTCAAGTATCTTTGATTTTGTGACACTCAGTTGATTTTTATCAGTACAACACTATTTCTCACTAAAAAGATTTCACTTAACAGAGAGGCGCCTTCGGCTAAAAGTACAATCCTGATTCCTGCTGCACACTACATATACACTTCCTTTGGCTTTCTCAACAGCAGTTGCTGCTGAGTAAAACGGTTAGAAATAACACTTCACATTAATACCAGTTTATGTACACGAAGACTGACGAAGATTGAAATGAAAATGGGAAACTTTTCACACTAAACTCTTCAAAACTGCAGGGCGACCACGAGGATCTAGAAACTGCTATGAGCACTACAGAGTGATAAGCCTAAATAGGTGGTGCATGGAAATATAAACAGGAAGACCCAATCATCGGTTTAGTTCACTACACCCTCTGCCAGGGAGCGCTGATGTCAGCGCTAACCGGAGTTGGGGGTCCTTATTTATTCTCTTGGTCCATGCTCCGGCAGATGACGCAGCTGTCCTTCTTTATCCGCCTTGCAGCTGTCCGAGTTATCACGCAATGGGTGAGAGAGAGATAAAGCGACATTAACAGACTCTATCTGGATTGAATGTAAATTTTTACACGGTATATTTTATTTTGCATAAAAAGCCTCCAAACTTTTCCACCAATACTAATATTAATTGAAGCTATAATGTGTTTCAATGTGAACTATTCAGTGGTTTTCAATTCGCCTTCAATAGCGCTTGCTACAATTGTTGTTACGAGTTACGAATACGTTGTGCAAGCCAATTTTGGTTTGTTACATACTTGATTCTCTGAAGGCGTTTATGTGCAAAGGTAGTGCACTCTGTTAGTGAACGGTTGAAGTAGAAAGTAAATGAATCGCCCAATGTGTACTTCGTTCTTTCTTCAACAGAGTGCGCTACGTGCGCGCATATAACGTTTTGACGGAATCGAGTATGTAACAAGTAAAAATCGGCAAGCACAACGTATCCATAATAACAATTGCGGCAAACGGAATTGAAGGCGGATTGAATACACCTGAATGATACAAGTTGAAATACATAATTTGGGCTCTTTATCTACATCTTTACCTACAATGAACTGTATTTCACAGCTTTTTGATGCGAGGTTCTCAAAAAGTTTCCATATTTTACTCAGTTTTAATGCAAAATAAAATGTACCATGCTACCTACAAGAAAGGTGTTGATTCATTTCCCATGGTTTTTGACTACACGAGGAGGCCTGCGTGAATTACTGACTGTAATATTATTTAAACTGCGTTTTAGGGGAAATTTGTCGAATTTCTCTCAATATTCAGAGCAAAAAACAACATTTACTACAGCTCAATAATGCACCAAATTCAAACCGGCAAAAATCAATATATCAGTGGCATGGCGTGCTTTGCGATATATTGATTGTTAGGTCATTTAAACATATAGAAAAGGATCGATAAACAGAGTGTTCGCAGCGAACGCCTTAAAAATCAAGTCTTTACTATAGGTTTAAATGGCATAACATTTGATACATCGCAATTCACGCCACGCCACTGCAATATATATATATATATTTTATACCTAAAATTGTTTTATTTATCAATTAATAAGACCCCACCCGACACAAGATCCAACATTAGTGGGTGGTTTTATTATGTTACTTTTCTTACTGTGATTACTTACTTTCCTTACGGGTGGTTTACTTTTCTTCTTTCGGAAAATGCACTAAAAGAAAATGAAAGAAAACTGTGTGTGGGCCGGGGAAAAGTTAAGATTTGGGAGAATGAATGTAAAAAGCACAACTCTTTACCACAGAATATAAAAATCGGATTTATTCACACTGGTGATGGTAGTACAATCTTGACATTCATACAGAAAAATTTCCCGAGTAAGCTGTTTTAACTAAAATTTAAGCCACAAGGGCTCAACTCTGCAATCTGCGTTTTATGATAAACGAATCGGCTTAAAACGTAACTTAAAAGTACAGAAACATTCAATGAACATCAAACTAGGAAGCAAGGAATGCTTATAAATTTTTAGAAAATGATTGAGTCATTATAGTTTGAGTTCCTAAGAGAAAAATGCTAGATAATTTTCATTAAATTATACCAGTATAGGTAATGAGACGAGAGAAATAACATAAAATTGCACACAAGATGCAATAGAAAAAAAAGGTCACACAAATAAACTACCTATGCATCCAGATTATCTAAAATTACAGTAAAAGATTAAACTTAAAATAAAATTAGTTTCAAAATTAAGGATACAAAATAAAAATCACAAGTGTTATTCATACAGGATGAACGAGGTTCGGTGAACTAAACAAACTCGGAGGAGACTGTAGGCCACAGCAAGAATAATGAAACTATCGAAAGACATGAACAAAACTCAAAGTAAACAAGAAAAAAATCAGGATTTAATTCAATTACTCAAAAGCTCATTTAATTAGATTAAATGGAAAACTATTGATTGAATTTTCCCTTTTTCTTTAGATTATTTTGTATGAGATTGAAGCTTACATTCCAACTTTTTACTTGCTTCCTTTACACTTTCTACAGTTTTAACACACGATTTGTCACCTCAGCTTTTTCCCTTTCCAGTTTGTTATTCTAAAGATTCCGGTTTCTTTTCTAAGCACTGTGATCACAAACGAAAAAACCCAATCCACCTCAGTTTCCTAGATATTCAGGGTAAAAGCATAATACAACTGGGGACTGAAACTACGACAGACAATAGAGAGGCAATCAATTTCAGGATACGAACTTGTGCTTGGAAAAATAAATGAGAGAGAGAGAGAGAGAGAAATAGGGAAAAAAGCTTGAGTCCTCATTTTCTTGCTATGTAAACAGAGATCCAAAATCCTAAGCCACATTATTTTCGGATGAGACGAAATATTAAGCATAGATTGCTTAGGAACTTTCACACAAAAGGAACAAAAGAGTCGATTGCTTGGGGTAATTTAACTTCGACCTGATAATTCAACCTATATTGTGGATTTTACCGCCTTTCCGAAACCAAGTTTGCTTAGCTCATCCATGATAAAACCGAGGATCGATCTGAGTCAAAATTAGGCACCCTTCTCAGTAGTCGCTGGACAACCTTCTGAATTTTTCTAAACGTTTGCACTTTTTGAGATAATGACCTTGCCTTGACTTCTTGCGCAAACTGTACCTTTAGCAAATTGGACTATTTTTCAACCAATCGTAGAAAAGTTGGAAATCACGATTTAACAATCAACCTTCTCTACGATTTGTCAAAAAAAAAAAAAAAAAAATTTTATACCTTAAAAATACTAAAGGTAAACTGAGGACACAAGAGGCTACACAAAAAGAATTTGAGAGAAGAATTTCTTAGACTGAGAGGTGACGCAAAAACTAAGCTAAAAATTCAAAGGATGAACGCACTACTGTACGAAAGGATGAACCGGTAGAAACCCTAAAATTTTTCCATTTGTTCTCGGATAATAATCTTATTAAATTATCACACAGATCAGACAATCTTAGAGTAGGATCAACACTTCAAACCTCACTATTGTAGTGTTTTTTTTTAATTTATTGACTGATTAGAGTCTGATTGTAAAGATGCGTGGCAAAAAGTAATTATTAGAGTCAAATTAGACGGATAAAAATCTTCTTAGAGATTACAAAAAAAACGAAGCCTGGTACGTTGAAAGGTCAAAAGAAATTTAAATGAAAAAGAATTGTGTAAAAATTGTGAGAGATTGTTTAAGTCGATTTGAATAAAATGGTTCGGTGCCAAAAATAGGAAGTAATACATTTAAAATTAAACGATGACCTCTAGGAGAGATTTGTTTTCTTATGAGGGGATGAAGTGGTCTTTCAGGAGCTTCATCATTCCAAATGTGCGGAAACGCTTAACACCTGAAAACGAAAGAGAAACACAGTTTGTAACGAAGTTTCCTATTAAAAAAGTCTATTTTTTTCACAAAAATTTATAGAAGCTTTGAATTATTTCTAATGGGGCAAGATTCACTTCCAAAATTTGTAATAACCGGAACGCACTCTTTATTACTTTCATTTGAAGTGAACTGCGCAAAGTAAAGGCAATAGAATCTTTAAAAATTCTTTCTCTACCTTTACAAAACAATTTCACATGCAATTTCAAGAAAATATTAAAATTGTAGTTTAAATTGAAATGGTTAACACACTTATTACAGTAGAATGACCGAAAGATAGATAAAAACCGACTGGAGCCTAAAGTCTCAACAGATTTGAGAATATTTTTGGTGCAATATATTTATTTGCACTGAACAAAATTTAAATATATTTATCTTATGGGGAAAAAATAAATTAACGAAGATTGCCTCTGATTTCTCTCCTTGAATAAAACAAATCTTGAACTTTTTGAACTTAAAAATTTGACTATTCTTTGTGTTTCATAATTTCTACCCTTGACAGGGACAAAATGTTCATAGTGCTGTTTAATAAAAGACAACAAAGAACTTACCAAAAACTTTGAATAGTTCATCGTTACAAATCGCAAATTGCTTGTTTTTCGGATCCTGAAAAATAAAAAATAAACGATAATTAGAATGGAATCATAACAATACAACTACAGCCGCTTATTCAAATAAACACTAGATCAAATCAAGTCAAAAGAAGGTGATATATTTACACAATCACTTCTTATAACGTTTTTTTTACCAGATTACTCAGCAGTTTCCTGTGTTTTAAAGGTTCCTTTTCAAGTTTCCATGGTTTATTGTGGTTTTTTCTTGCTACATTTAATTCGCTGGGTTTTCCCAGTTGCTAATAACCTTGCTGAAATATTGAATGGAGAAAGGACACAAGGGAGATCAGGATAAAATTTTTAACACTGCAATTGATCTCATTTTTGTATCAGCTTATTTCTTAAAATGAACTTACATATAGATTCTTCTCCTTGATTAGAGCCCAAATTTTCTTGACTACTTCGTGGCGGGGCATAGCGTCTTCACCCATAAGTTCGGATAATTCAGGACTAAGTTTCAGGGCTTTCGTGTAGCCGCCACCTCCTCGACCGCCTCCCTTCTTGGGCTGCAAAGAAAAGAAAACGACAGCAGTTAATGCTTGAAGTTTCAATACATCATATTTTTAGTTGTACTATGCAAATTGAGACTGCAGCCAGCGTTTAAGCACCACCTTAAAGGCTCCAGTAAAGTTCCTTAATGATACCTAAATTTTTAAAACAACGAACTCGATTCAAGAACAAAAAAAATATAAAAAAATAGAATATATAAACTTCATTCATACTTGACTTTCTTTAACAGAGGAACCAACGAATAATATGGCCTGAAATTGTTTTGGAATAATTGTGGCAGGGCAAAAAATATTTCAAGATACGATCAGTTGTTTGCCTTTAGAACAGTAAAACAGAGGATATTAAGGATATTACATTTTAGAATACCTGTTTTTAGAGTTTATCTATTGATTTAAGTCGTGGAATCTCAAAGAAGATTTTCAGTCAAGTAGCTTTGTGGTGAAATATAAATGAAGTTAGGTGCTACAAAATTTTAAAAACTGAAAATATTTTATGCAACACATAATAAAATCATAGCGGAGATGCTGCATTAAATTTGTCAGCATTTAGCAAAAAGGGAGCTTCCACTTTCATTGCAAAACGAGAGTGAACTTTATTGCAGATGTCGGCGTTGGACAGAATGCTCATTCCATGATTATTGGTATAGTGAGATGGGGTAAATATATATATAGCACATAAGAAGATATCATCGTGATACTTACAGCAGCCTTTTTCTTCTTGCCCCAGTCTTCATCACTATCTGATTCACTGCCCTTGGCAGATTTGCGCCCTGCTTTCTTGGCTGGCTTTTTCGCTGCCTTGGCCTTCTTTTTGGATGGACTGTAATCGTCATCTTTGTCCTGGAAAAAAAGAACAGATCTGTTAGGATTCGTTGGACATGGATTTCATCGACAGAAAAATTGTGAGATTTTTCCGACCTTACTTAAAAGATAAAAGCTTTTGAGAATAAATACCTAAGGGCAAAAGAGGATAGAGCAGCAGCATCGTATGTTGAGACAAATGTCAATCTCTGATTATCTCAGAATCAGCACCACTCAACAGGTTAATACATGCAATCAGATGGCACCAATGATGAGTGGTGACCTAAACAATACTTGACTTTTGTCTCAACGTACGATGCTTCCGTTCAAGTTTGGACTGCATTAAGCAGAAAGGAACAAAGTCTTATTAGCTACTGCTAAAACTCATCGAACAATATCCTTTTCACAGGAGAACAGGTGTATAGATTCTATTGAAAATTTTCTAATCTTCACATGACCGGCAAAATCCCTAAGATTTTCACAACAATCCGCACTACTATTCTTCAGAAAGAAAAAAAAAAATCATCCTTTAAAATTTGGCGGTGGCTGTTGGGACTTCATTACCTTCTGCTTAATATTGATTTCATTCATCATTTGTCTTGCCAAGTTCAATTTCTCCCCCGTTTCTTAGAAGACAGGGCAGAGCCTGCAGATCCCTCGAAGTTTTTCCCCCAAGAAGAAATGTATTTGGTACAGAGCCATGAGACTATTCTGAGGATACCAGATCCAAAATTCTTTTCATTTTTTGGAGATTTATGTTTGGTACAAGATTTAAAAAAAAAATAATAATAAAAAAAAAACTGATAGATTTTGTTCTTTATTATCCTTCACTAGGTTAGTTATGAGAAAAAAAGAAAACAAGCTGCCAAAATGCAAGAATCAAGCTAAACGTTTGATCTGATTCTGCAGGAAGTTAGCAGCATTCATTCCATGATAGTTGTCATTTTTAACTCATGGAATTGCGAGAGATAAAATGAGGAAAGTGAAAAAGCATCTCACCATTGAGATTACGTAGCTTGCAAGATTATGCTTAAGTCCCACTGAATTGAAAGAATTTGGAATTCAATACTTGAAGAGGAATTATTGAAATATTGACCGAGCAAATTATTAATTTTGATTATTCATTACATAATTGGCCAATTTTAGAAAAATTGATCACTTGAAATATTTTAGCTGATTTGAAGATTTATACGGCAAGGGCTGGAAATTAGTCCCAAAGTTGCTGAATACTGACAAAGATAAAATGAAATTTGAATTTAAGTAGCGCTTACTAGATTTATCACGCAGCGCAATATGATAAATTTTTAAAAAAAAGTAACTTGGTTGCATTTATACTTTCAGAAAAATGACCATGTTCTAAATATTTTTAAAGGTAAATCATGTAAACCGAATTGGAAATAAAGTAAAAAAAATGATTCAGCAGTAATTATCTTTGAATCTGGACAAGGTGACTTAATAGACTGTAATGGGCTGCACAAAAAATCAATCAAAATGAGAGAGAAGTAGAATTAGCCAATTAAAAAGAGGGGTGAGAACTCGTGTGGCGATAATAAAAAGAAACAGAAAAAAATTCAGTAGTGTTAATAGCATAAATTGCGCAATTCAGAAGTCCTGTCACTTTGACTGCTTCGGGATTTTGTAACATAATGTGCCGGAAGAGCAGCTTCAATGTATGTGTTGCTTCAAATAAGACCCACGATTAGATTGATGCGTACAATGAAAAATAAAATGGAAAAAAAAAACAAATAAAAAGATAAAAATAAAGCGAAAAAAAAAAAACAACAAACAAACAAACAAATATTTCAAGCTAAGGAAAATGGGAGATGAAATAACAGAAATATTATTTTTACCATCTATGCAGCTATCAATGATAATTTTGATAATGTATGGTACCTATAATTTACAATCGTACATATTTATTGTAGTTGAAAGCTGCATAAGACAGCATTCACCATATACTTAACTTGTTTTCAGACATGAGTATAAAAGCTATAGATAAAAATGGACATAGGTAACATTTCTCAGGGGTCTATATTCTTGGTTTTTACTTATGACAAAATCTTAAATTAAGTTTTTATTAAACTTGGTGTAATTGAGATTTATTAGTCAATGTGAAGTTACAGCACTACTATGCTACTTATATATAGAGAGAAGAATTCTAAAAATTAGCAAAACTTTTGCGTTGGCTCATGGTTTTACTGCAAGAAAAAAATAAAATGACTGTGAATATATTGAGACTGCATGATGTTGGTTAGCGTCTGCGCATAGTCAAACGAAAAACTGTTCAATAAATACATTTGCTTAATACTCACTTCTTCTGAAGCATCTTCACTCTCGTCACTTGAGGCCTGTTTGCGTTTAGGTGCGGGTTTCTTGGCAGAGCGTTTGGGCTTTTCTTCTTCCTCCTCGTCTTCCTCATCATCCTCCTCTTCGTCTTCTTCTTCCTCATCATCGCTGGCGTCTTTAGCAGAGCCGTTCTTCTTCTTAGACTTATCTTTCTTCTCTTGCAGACACTCCATAACTAGTTCGTCTACTTCCTTCCGCCGGCTTGACAAGTCGATGTCCAACTTTTCTTCTATCTGTTGTCGTACTTTCTTTCCGGTCAGGGTGGAGAGTTCCGCATCCTTGAGGATTGCTGAAATTAGAGAAGTCATGATAGAAAAAGTGAAAATAATTCGGAGAAAAACAAGAATTAACACTTGCAGGCCTTGGATGCGTATAATGTTACACCTTTCAAATTGAAACCGAATGTGATAAAGGGATGTGAAGGCAAAGAACTTTCTGCACACAGGAAAACTGAGAGAGACTTCAGTTATCATTCCAGAATCTCTTCATCGATCATCTTAAAAACTCTCCTAACGACAGAAGGAACTCAATCTGTTTCTTGGAAGAAGGAGTGGGAAGGTGAGGAAGGTTGTTCTCAACTCCGTCAACCTCTTTGATCCTGAGGTTTTTCACATCCATAAATAGGAAAAAAAAACAAGGACAGCTATAGTTCAAGAGCCACCAAAATCTATCTTCTGGTAAAAAAAAGGAAAGAGATAAGAGGAAACCTCCAAGACTCGGTGAACAGAGAAGGATGAATAAAGCTTCGCACAAAGTAGGAGCAGAGGTACCCTGATGACATAAATATTTACAAATTTTAAGAGTGCCTGGATTTTGATTTGGAGGCTTAAAAAGGGATTCAAAGACGGATGGGAGAAAAAACTAACTAAAGGTTACTCAGACCATCTCGAAAGGTTTAAACAGCAATTCCTTTGACAAGATTGAAGGTGTAAAAATAAATCCCACTGAATTTCTAAACCAAGAAGTCTGAAGACAATAATTAGTGATTGATTTCAGTGAAAAATGGGAAACCGATAAGAATTAGAGAAAAAATTTGAGAAATGTAGATGAAGCTCTTTGTCTCTACTTCCTCAAGTTCAATGGCTTGTAGTTCAGACAAGGTTTAAGCACATAGGTATGTTGGGAAATGATGCATTCATTATGGGAAAACAAGTATGGAGCCAGGCTCAGTACAAGTAATGATAGAATGTTGCATTCCAGTCAGCAGACAAAATGATTATTTTCGGTGACTTGGGGTGTTAGTAAGGCTAACGTCGGGAAAATCTTGGGAAAAAAGATAATTCCTTAAAGAATTCCTCCGGATAGGTCTGGAAATAGTCATTTCACCCTAGAGAGATTCACCTATCAGGCTCCATGGGGAAAATGGTAGCTTTTACCTTGAAAAAGCATCAGGTAATAAACAAACAAGAAAAAGGGGGAAGGCTAGTAGCATCGAGTGGAAAATCTCAAAATACGCCGAAGTAATGCCTCAAAAGCAAAGAGACGAAATCGGTCGAGATTTGAAGCGAAAGAAACCCAAAAAGCTTCGTGGGGGCAAAGCGTCACCAAGCTAGTGAAGCTTCGGTACGAAGATAGATTCGTGATTAGTAAAACATGCCCAAAGTATTCAGGAAGAATGATTTCGCTATCGGAAATCGTAGCTAAGATTGAGTGACTGGGTATTTGCAGAGAAGATCAGTAAGAAATGCAGTAGTATCAGAAATTTATAGTTACCGGTGATCTCTTTCTTCAGATCTTCTTGAGATATGTCTGCCATTTTACACAAGTTTTCAGAAGCACGGAATGTGGAACACTTCACCACTTCGGCATAAGCAATAAGCAAGCAATGTGCAGGAAACCAAGAGCCTATTCATCCCACGAGAAAACGTGAATCGGAGTTCAGCTACAGTAGGTACCAATGTTGAAATATTACACTACCAATTACTATGTTATCGAAAATCAACCTCATATTTATTTAGAAGAATTTTCTAGCTCAGGAAAAGCCCATTTGATCATCAATTGGTTTTTGAATAATTTAAAATGATTTTTACTCGATAATTATGCTAGATTGGAATCGGTGCATCATTGTGCGCACGGCCTTGGCAGTGATTGTATTTATTCCGTAGTTGGACAACTTGTAAAATTTCATGCGCGCGATTTTTCGAAAAAAGTATTGCAGTGGATCAATGACGTTCTTCCTGAGAATCTCGAGACATTAAATAGATAAATAAAAAGAAATAAATGAAAATTGTGACAGGATACAATAAGAGAAAAAAACTGAATAGATTAAGGGTTGCTAAAAGTAACTGAGATTTTATATGGAAAGAACTTCGATTGGATCGAAGTCAAGAAGGGCTTAGATGATTGGAGACTACCAATGAAAGAGGGAATTTTTCAACATCTAAAAGTAATTTAGCGAAGAGCAATCAAAAATAGAAAATAATTACTTGCTAAAAAAGAAATATTTTCTTTTTTTCTAAGCAAGGAGAGCAAATCTGGCAGATTGTAAAAAATCAATCAGAACATTTTTTGCTTTTTTGCTTCATGCTGTCCGTCAAGATAGCTTCATGAAAAATCAACCTTAAATTAATTTTGACAAACCTAAGATTTTTTAACAATCTTACTCGAAGGATTCTTCCATTAAATTTTTATTAAAGTACTCTGAACTTGTTATAATTTTGAAAATACTTCTCACTCATCAGTAAGGGACAATAAATCGAGTTTCAATCCCGTTTTCGTCAGTAGAAACACCCGAAAAAGCAAATATATTATTAAGATGACTTTGATAAGAAAAGCACGAAGCAATAAGTATTGAGATGATGAGTAGTTTCAACAAAAATTTTCAAATATTTGTGACATGCGCTCCTTCCTTGCTTTAGGTACAATCTACTGACAGATATTCATAGTTAGTTGGTTTGAGAAAAATTGGCAAAAAATAATCTTAAGAGTGCAAAAACGAAAAAAACGGAAAGACGAAAAATTCTTAGCACTCCAACGAATCCTTTTCAGTGCATGTTATTACATTACAGGGGTACAGAGAAAAAACCAAAGTCAAATTTAAAATAATACTTTTATTTCACGAACTTAGGAAAAAATAAATAACACTATGTTCATATTTACAAGTCAATAGTAAAAAAAAATGTTTTGAGTTATTCTATAGGAAAATTATTTTCTCAGAATTGCAATTGTGCTAAATTACTTGATTCATCAATTTACCAATTTTTTATGATCAGATACCTTTATTTATCAATTTACCGATTTTTTTATAATCAGATATCTTAATTCATCAATTTACAATTTTTTTAAAATCAGATACCTACGGCAATTATTTTAACACTGCAATGCAATTGCAGTGTTAAACACTTAGAGAAATGGAACTAGACATTCAGAAAACTTGACAATTGGAGACATGGCATCAGACATTTGGAGACATGAAATCAAAAATTTTGAGAGATGGAATGAGACATTATGTAAAATGAAAAGGAAAATTTAGAAAAAAGGAATCCCATGATTGTTCTGGACTTTTTTGACCTATGTAAAGGAGAATCCCTATTTTTGACGATACCAGCTAAATGAAAAACATTAGTAAAATCTTTTTGAACTTTTGAGTGTTGCCTAAATGCTCTGTCCGCATGTTTTTCTCCAATTTTCAACCTTTATTTGTAAAAACCTAAAAGATTTTTCCTGACTTTGGTGCCCTGATAAAAACACTAATTAAATTAAATGATTCTCACAAAAATTACAACTAGGGTTCCACCTCAATTACAGGTTAGGAATCACAGAGTAGAGTATTTACACACAGTGACATGAGCGCTCTTAAAATAAATTGAAATAACACTTAGGATACAACCATCAAACGAGGTGCAATATTCATAGCCATCAGTTCCTGGAACAACAGCTTCGCAGCATAGGGCAGTCTTACTTGAGAAATTTGCGTCTTATTCTTACAGCCTTTGCACTCAAACGTGTTATTTCTCAGATTAGCTATGGCAATCAAGCCGCAGTAGTTGCAAACGTGGATTCTGTACGGATCGGATACTTCGAACAAACGCTCCCGTAGAAACTGGGCAGCACCGTGAGAGATCTGACAATCTCGTTCCATCTCACCGAAACGCAGACCTCCATCCCTTGCTCTTCCCTCCATGGGTTGACGGACCAATATCTGAACGGGTCCTCTTGCTCTCGAGTGAATTTTGTCGTCCACCATGTGCTTCAAACGCTGATAATAGGTTGGTCCTAAAAAGACCTGGGCATTGATTTTGCGACCTGAATGGCCGTTGTACATGACCTCATTGCCTCGGAGCTGGTAACCGTACTCTTGGAGGAGCGTTGAGATTTTCTGCACATTCACAGCATCGTTGAATGGTGTTGCGTCACCAATCTCACCTTTGTTTGAGGAGACCTTGCCTTGAAGGCACTCGATCAAGTGACCAATTGTCATACGGGAGGGGATGGCGTGAGGGTTAATGATGATGTCTGGAGCAAGACCTTCGCAGGTAAACGGCATATCCTCTTGACGATATTGAATACCACAGGTACCTTTTTGACCGTGCCTCGAGGCAAACTTGTCACCAATCTGGGGGATACGAACAGAACGTACTCGAATTTTACAAAACTTGTATCCCTCACTGTTTAGCGTCAACATGACTTGATCAACAATCCCTGTTTCACTGTTGCGCAAGAATGTGCTGGCATCTCTCTTTGAGTATCGCTTTGTTGTGCCTTCAAGCTCGTCATCATTTTCAGGCAGAGTGATGGTCTTTCCGATAACAACATCGTCACCAGAAACTCTTAAACCAGGTGCAATTATTCCATCATCATCTAATTTATCGTAAATTGCATTACGCATTCCTTGACAAGTTGACCTGTTTGGTTTCTCAAACTGCTCTTCCTGGTCTCCGATTCTCTTTGATTCTGAGTCTTTGTAAGAACGGAAGAACACAGACCTGAAGAATCCTCTTTCTACAGCAGAGGCGTTCAAGATGACAGAATCTTCTTGGTTGTAACCGGTATAACACAGGATAGCTACGATGGAGTTGATTCCAGCTGGAAGTTCTCGGAACCGCAGGTACTCCATAGACCTTGTTGTTACCAATGGTTTATGAGGATAGTAGAGTACATGAGCTAGAGTGTCCATCCGAACGTGATAATTTGTAATATAAACACCCATGGCTTGTTTACCCATAGCACTCTGGTAAGTATTCCTGGGACTTTGGTTGTGATCAGGGAACGGAATAATGGATGCACAAACTCCGAGGATCATAGCTGGATGAATCTCACAATGTGTATAAGTTGTACAGTAAGCATATTCTTTGTCTTGTCGTAAATCTTCAGGTGACATGGCAATCATGGTCGTTTCTTCTTCTAGTGTGTCAATATACTCTACCACACCGCTAGATACCAGTTCTTGCCATTTGTAATTATTGTAATCACGCTGTTTGAGATTATCCACATGGCTTCGTTTCAGGAGCAATGTCTGATTTTCAACGATCAACAAAGGCCGACAGATTCGCCCTGCATCAGTGTAGATACGGATTTCACGGTCACGGATATCTCGAATGATGGATACTTCACTGACAATGATGTCCATCTGACGTCTCAACTTGCGGAGAGTACCCATGAGTTGTTCTGGGTCACGATGGATGCCCACCCAGCAGCCGTTGACGAAGATTTTTGTGGCATCTGCAATAGCTGAGGGTGCGATTTCTTCTAGATTTTCCATGCTCCACTCTTCCAAAAACTCTAGGATAGGACTCGGCTGAGATCCGACTGAGATATAGGCCATAAGGGCAAGGTTCTTTACCAGGCCGACAGCAGCACCCTCTGGTGTTTCGGCAGGGCAGATCATACCCCACAGTGTGTTGTGTAACTGACGAGGCTTGGCTAGTTTGCCGTCACGACCAATTGGGGAGTTGACACGCCGCAAATGTGAGAGGGTTGAAGCAAAGGTCAGTCGATTCAACACCTGAAAAAATTAATATAAAGTTAAATTAATTAGTTTAATATTAAATTCAAGATTTGTTTGTGCTTTCATGGCTATTATTTTTTAAGATTACTGCACAACTCTTTTGTTAATTGGATTATTTAGTTATTGTTAAACAAAACTCCCAACTATTTGGATTAATTGGAACCAGACTGATCTCCAAAGTGAAAGAATCGATGAAGAAATAAAACTCACGGCACACAAATATTAGTGAATTATGGCACATTGCAGGTTTGAAAATGCGATTTTTTTTTTTAAAAACCAAGTTTTCTATTCCTCATTGTAGGCACATTCACACCACACCGCAGTGACCACATTATCCATTCGACCTGTTCCATAAAATAAATTTTAAAAGATACTGATCTATTGGCAATGCATGAGCTATTGAGAGGGAAACAGGGGAATGAAGTTCATCCTAACGTACTTTCTCCTTTTTTCCCATGAATAATTCTAGAGCAGAATTAGGTTAATCTTGAAGAATAGAGACTTCCAGAGTCTGTTAAAATGTATTAACTATAAAGAATAGTGCTCACCTGGGATACACCAGCTCTTGCTTGATGAGCTTTCTTCTGATCTCCCCAATTTCCTGTGGCCAAGGAATAACGGAGTCCATCTGTGATTATCTTCGTCTTGATTGCTAGCTCCATGTTGAAGTCTTTTCCCCGGTCGATGAATTTCTGTGCATACATTCTCACCTCTTTCATTAAGTTCTTGAATAATCTGTTAAGACAACAAATGGATGAAATGACATCAGTTTGATAAATCACCTCGATGTAATTTATCCTGAGATCCAATGGTTGTTAAACTAAGGTTTGATACATCACACTATGTTGAGTCTTTGGCTAAAAAAATGAAAATCTGGTCTGTAAACAGTCTAGAGATTGCTTTGTTACTAAAAAAATTGCGAAATTCGAGGGAAAAGAAACAGGATTTGACAGCAAAAAAACGTGCCACGTCGAACAACGATTGGTTCTCGAATCAAATACTATACTTATTTGTGACCAAATTCAGTTTTTATTTCTTCAAATTGAATATTTTTCTCATTTTTTTCTTTAACTTGGGTCCCTATAGGATTCATGAAAGCTTTTAAAAAACAAGTTCAAGGACTCTCAGCATTATTCACAGAGTTAGTCTAGTTCGTAAAATCAAAGAGTTTCGATGGTTTTTTAAAACAAATTTGAGGTACTTTCAACGATGTACAGGACAATTTTCAAAACTTTGGAGAAAGCCCCCAAAGTAGAAACTTGCTATTCTTACACCTTAACTCTGTTACCTATCTGAAGAATGGCAAAAGTATGACACACAGACCATGCTATTTGATACTTCGGAATTCTCTATGCGAGAAGATAAAAAGACCAATCTCCTTATCAGTCGAAAACAAAATGACAGGATGATGGAAAAATTTCAAAATTTGAGTAAATTTCCAATTCAAGACTTAAAATTAAAAAAAAATTTAATTATATTCAAAGACTTTTTGGAGCGTCACAGACCCTGCCTTCAAATTTCGTAAAAAAAAGTAAACAGATGTCGCAGAATTTGAGGTAAAATTCTTCACTTTGATTTATGTTAGTTTTTAAAATTTCCAATTCCACGATTTTTCAAAATAGGTGGTATGCCTCATTCCATCATCTGAGGCTTTAATATAAAATATGATAAAAAAGAAAAACTTCAATAAAGCATCATTTTAATTTGTTGGAAACTTCTAGTAAAGTGGTTCTCACAGATCTCAAAATACACTTTACGAATTGAAATGCTTCGAAGAGGAAAGATAAAATTATAAATAATTACCCTCTGAATAAAAATGCAAGCAGTGGTCCGGCAAGATCTAGACGTTTGTTCCCGTAGTGATCACGATCATCCAACTCTCGACGTCCAAGTGCAGCCAACAACAGCCTATGAACCATGTAACCAAGGAAGTAGGCTTTCTTTGTCTCACAAAAGTCAGACACTCCAACATGAGGCAACATTTCCTTCTGCAGAATTTCCCTAGCATATTTTATTCTCTTGTCTTTGGTCACACCAGGTCTCGCTCCACGGGCTCCGATGAAATTGAGCGCAACGTTCTGCTCCTGAATTACGAAGGCTTCGTCTAACGATGGTTTTACCTAAAAGTGGAACACAATTCAAATTAATAACAGAGTTTTCACAATTATTCAATTTTAATACCTACAATTACGTCAAAGCTGCCTGACTTACACACATAAACGCATCTGTATGCATGAGATCTAGCATTATTTCTTGACTTTACTTCGTGTTGCTGCTCCAAAAGGTTCAGGTTCTAAAACGTTGAAAACGTTTAAGAAATGAAAATTCAAGTATTTTCGATATTTTCATTTTTTGAGTACTTTTATTTATTAACAGCAGGCTTTAATCGGAATTAGCCTAACCACATACATATCGCCTAATTTTTCACATGTTTTATTTATTCAACAGAAAATAAAACTACTCAGCAACATCTTTAATTTTTCTGTGAATGTATTCTGGATCATGAAAAGTATACTGGTGAAATTTTAAGTTTCAGTGCTGTTTATATTTCTGCTTCAAAAATAAAACATTCGAGAAAATCAGGTAAGTTCTTATTCTAGTAGAATACATTCAAATTTCAGGTGAAATAATTCAGTTGAACCGGAATGAGCCTAACAACGTTAAATGTTGCTTAATTTTCAATCACAATACAGTTTTTTTAGAAGTAAATTTAGCAATGATTTTGCGACCAAACTTAACAAAAATCGCTGTACCCATTGAGAAGTTTGCCCTTATGGACTAAGGTTCCTTTTCCTGTGGACTGTCACATAGTACCTCTTACTTTAAAAGTTACGGTTATAATTTAGTTCAAACATCTGAATAAAAATAAATTTTTCTGGTAACTTTAATTGTAATATATAAAGGAGGATGCTTCAGGCGATGTAATAAGGTCCTAGGGACAATTTTGTACAAAAATTGATAAAAAATTAGTCCATTATTTTTTTTTTTTTTTTTCTGTTAATGAAAGTGAGAAGTTTAGAACGCACCATTTCCATCATTTCTGGGTCATCGAAGTCGTAGATAATGTGTTCAAGGATATCTCGATCGGCCACAAAACCTAAAGCTCGGAAAACGATCATGATCGGAATCTCCTGCTTAATATAGGGGAGGATGGCGATGATACGTTGACCGATTGCTGATTTTTTAATACTTTGACCTCCTCTTGCCATCATGTTGACCCAAAGCGTGGAAGTCGGACGTGAAGAGTGCTCCAAACATGACCGGATTTCCGCCTTATACGCGTATTTTCCATCTTTCATGCTGAAAACGTACACAGTGTTGGTGGCCATCTTTTCTTGAGCGATTAGGACCTAAAAATGAAAGAAAAATAGTTTAGGGCATGGAAACAAAATCACTAGCATTTCAAGATAGAAATCTAAATACTTTTGTTCTTGAAAGCTTGAACTTTTGAGTTCAGGTTGCAGTGCTTCAGCTATTTTAGTTTTGACTCCTTTCTTTTTACATTATTTCACTAACGGGAGAAAATTTCTTGAGTACACCAAGGATATAGAAAGAAAAAAGTGTGTTAAAAATTAGAATATTCTTACAAGTTGACTGTTACATTCACTTTTCTAACTGATCAATTTTCCTCACTTTTCATAATTATTACCTGAATTAATGGGCTCACACTTTGCAATGAGAACTATTACTTAGTTCTGGCTCATCCACAAACATACTTATCTGTATAAAGAAACTACTCAAATTTATGTTGTTTCTAAAATACGGTTCAATTAGGCTGAACTGGACTGATAGAACAGCCAAAATGCATTTGATTTACGCTGAATTTCTTGCATGATTTATTCTTCATCAAATTATCGAGCATTGTGATACCTTGAAGCTTCCTGAGAATTTTTACTCGGTAAAAAAATTATATTAAAAAAATTTCAAAGCAGAATGTTGCTCAATTTCTTGTTAAAAAATTCAAATTGAAATGAGATTAGACGACCTGTGATGTAGGTGTGTACGCTTATCCTGCTCATTGCTTTTCAATTAGTCTTTCTTTCCTTTTCAAAATCATGCTTGTTAAAGAATTTGTGACATATCACAAGACATGTTGAAAACTGCATAATTTCACTCAAAGAAAGATAAATGGTGTAATAGTTGGTTTAGATGATATACTGAGTTAAAGAGCCAATGGAAATAAGAAGATTTGACACCTGTGTCACAAGACATGTTTCTGTATCAAAATTTCATTTAGAGAACGTTAATTACATCAAAAACTTCAAAAGCTGAATCAGTAAAGAGAAAAAATTAACACGTGCAGTTTACATTGAAAGAATATCCAGTAAGACCTCGATTTATCGGATTTCCAGGGCCGGAGGCCGAATCCGTTAAATTGCGAACCATAATTCAAGGTCTTACTGTAATCCAAATTTTTCTGCTTACAGACACACCAATATCAGTGGAGGTCAAAATGGTCATTAAATACTATTTTAAAGATCAGGCAAATAACCGAAGGTTGGTCTCTTACTTCTTTACCTGATTTTACATACTTCGTTATCTTCTTTTTTTCAACAAAAATTGCCTCCGAAAAAAAAAAGTCGGTACACTGAAAAAACCTTCCATCATACAATATTCGACGAGTGTTTGATGAGTAGACTTCAGTTTTTAACTCAGCAGGAAATTAGTATGGACACACACAAAAATATATTCTCTATTATGAGTTGACTTTGGAAAGTTGTAATGTATCTATTTCCATTGTAATATCTATGAAATTTTGGTGATGGTTCATTAACTTATGATCATAAGTTGTCAATTTACTGAGATAAATTGTGATTGAGTGCATGAGGACAGAAATTCAATCAAGAGAAAAATACCTTTTCTGAGCCGTTGATAATAAAATAGCCACCAGGATCCAAGGGGCACTCGTTTAATTCTGTAAGATCACGATCTGTCAAACCGCTCAGAAGACAAAACGTAGAACGCAACATAATTGGAATTTTACCTGCAAACAGATTGAGCACAGGATTTAAAGATTTTGCTATGAAAAGAGCAACAGCAGAGAGACGAGGAAAGATAATTTGGTCCTAGGTATAAAAACAGATGGGTTGTTAACTCATCTAGCTAAAAATTGAACTTTAAATGTGCCAAACATAAAATGCTGGTAAAGTATCTTTTTGGTCTTTTAATGGCAGGGCAAAATTACTTATTTTTCTTACTCTAGTAATCTAGTGATGGATAATTTCCATGAATTTCCCCTTGAGTAAAAATAATCAAGTACTCACAAAATACCACAGCAGCATTTTCTTGAGCTTTCTCATAAAAAATGGAACATGAACAGAAATCAGGCAATATCTAAGGTGGTTAGGAGGTTTTGGGTTAGTGCTACCTGATTATTCCAAAAGAACGTATGACACTTTAAAAACGAAAAACATTAACAGCCCACTGCAAACTAAAGATCTGGTTTTTCCTTGCAACTTCATATTAAACTCCCATTTGTCTAAACCCTTTTTGGAGAAGCTCATGGATTTGTTTTAAAATATGCACAAAAAGTTTTGTAAGGGGATCAGATTTTATCTTTCGAATAAAAAGGCTCCTCAATCACAGAGTTTATGATGATGCAAAAAGAGCTGCAGAATAGCAGCTGCTTTTAATTCTGTTTCCAAACACGACCTCATGGTTGATTTCAACTCAAAGACCACTCTCAACCTGTTGTTTAAGTTACGGAAGAGATCAAAGACTCTTCAGATGGATTTTCATTCAAAATAGTGAAAATTGTTTACCAATGAAAGATTTTTCATGCTCTGTGACGACAGGCTCTTGACCATCTTTGATGACAGTTTTAGTGATGTCAACATAGAGTGGCGCAGAGTAAGTCAAATTCCTCAGCCGAGCCTCATTTGGCATCATAGGGGAAGGTGACCCATCCTTTTCCCAATGAGTCGGTTTCGATAGATAAATCTGTTCAAATTTTAGTAAGTAGCGAGGCTGAAACAAACAAACAAATGATATAAAATTTAATGGAAATTGAAAATATGTCCAAGGATTGATAATGAGGATGGAATTTTCTTCATTGGTTGAAATACAAACGATTTAGGTAGTTTGTGATTGTATAGCTTGATGCAAAATACCGCAAAAGGGAGCAGAAATTCCTTGACCACATCACTGGCAGGTTGCAAGTGGTCCCTTGTAAAAATGGGAAAACCGCAAAGAGGCATCTTCAAATTGGCTAGACGAGCTTGCAGCAGCATGGAAATTAAGAGCTCGTCGCAAGGCAACAACGACTCACAAGTAGATCGATACAGAAAAAGGTTTTTATTTAAAAAATTTTGAGAAAGAATGGATTTTCCAAAAGAGATCAACCAAATTGATAAATGAGAGAGCTAAGAACTTCCATCGTCCCTCTTTTGGTCATTTCTGGCTGATTTTACATTTAAGTACACACCAGAATGTACCTGGTAATGAGAAGTTTAGGATGCAGACCTATCTCAAAAAAGCTGAAATTAGTTCCATAATTTAACTAGTGCTCACGGAACAACTTATTACACCAAACGACAAATCATTCTAACAAATTGCAAATGGCCGTTGAATATCCATATAGGACTTTTTCTGATTCTCTTTTGCCAGTAAGGGAAACTTGTTTGATCAGCGCATTTACCTGCCACTATTTAAAATGTGGCCGAATGGAGTTTTCTTCAATACTTACTTACAGCAAAGTAAAAAAACTTACTGGTGTTTCAATTTCACCACTTGTGTGCTGGGCTTCTGCTTGGAGATCGATCTGAGGCGAATCTTCCACGATACGTTGGACTGACATCTGAATGAATTCATCGAAGGAGTCAAGCTGTTGCCGCACCAAACCTTTCTCGTCGAAGTAAGCGTTGATGACAATCCAGCAGGCTTCTTGCCACAATTCGCTACTGATTTCACCCGAATCTTCGTCTCCATAATTGTCTGAAACAAGAAAAATATACAAACATGTGACTACCAATAATTAATTAACAGCTAAGTCATCGAAAATAGAACAGAGAAAAAGCTCTCACTAACTTGAAGAGAGACCTTCGGAGTGGCATATATATAATAAACCAGGTCTTTTAAATGAAAATAAAAGGCTGCAAATTACCTAGATAAGGTTCAGAAATAATGATGGACTGCGATCAGCATGATCAGACTGAACTAAAGTAATTTAGAAAGAGTCGACAGGTTAATAAAAAAAGAGGTGAAAGTTTTATCTCTTCATTAGATTTATTGTTAAAGATAAGGTTTGACCACTATGTAATCTTGCTTAGCTTTGAACTCAGGACAGGAGAAAACTTTCCGACTAGATACGCTCAAAATTACTCTTGACTGTACATTCTTGAATTTTAGCTTGGTTACTTCTAGGTGCGTTAATTTGATTCAGTTTATACTAAGACAATATGCATGACTGTAAATAGCGTCCTTTGTCCTGATGGTTAGATAATAATTCGAGTTTGAAGGGATCAAAATCTAAGTCCTAGAACAGATAAGGCCCTAGAGAGAAAGCTCGATAAAACGCGGCTACAATTCGACAGAAGAGCCTTTGCAGTTCTGGGCGAAGCTACTCTAGCAGTTCAGAAAATGCACCACATTCCAGTTAGATTGAGTTATAGTGGAGACTAGTACCAAGAGAGGAATGTAGTCTAGGCTGCATGCAAGAAATTAAATAATATAGAGCTGTGGTTCCATTTCTGTTACCTCCTTCCGGCATCAAAAACAAGACCTAGAAGATAGAAGCCTTCACGAACTTCGTAGGATCCACGATTCCACTTAGAAAATCTCTCACTTCCCATGATAAACCCAAGTGTAGGAATCTTAAGATTAGAAAAGTCCACATTGCCAAGGTACGTGAAAATGAGCTCCTGCTGTTGTGAAAAGAAAGTTCCGTTGGGTAATTTCTAGGGAACGAGTTGTGATGGAGGACATGCTAAGTTGCGTATAGTTGCGTTGCGGGTATAAAGACAGAGATAGAGTTCCGAAGAGATGGACCAGAAATTAAAAAATTCAAGTACTCACCGTCTTCTAAATCATACATTATTAGATAAAACACTCAATTCAGATAGTAAAATTGAAATGATAGCAGGTAACAGTTGAAAATTCACTTGCTGAAGATTTTCAGGGACGCCGCAAGATTTTGAGGTTAGCATCTCCAAAACAACCGAGACGGACACTCCGTAATTACACTATTCACTGTTAGAGAGCGTTCAAATAGCTACCTAGTCAAATTCCTCACCTTTTTGTTCGTACCACTGCTAATAGAGCGTGTTACTAGCACACCGTCTATGGCGGGCCGTTAGGTCCAAAATTCCCGAATATATTAATTTTTGTGAGAATATATTTTTTTTCCGAATATATATTTTTTTCCCGATATATATGTATTTTTTTGAGAATATATATTTTTTTCCTTGAGAATATATAATTGGTTTGAGAATTTATTTTTTCTCAGAATATATAATTTCTCGAAAAAAAAAAAAAAAAATATTCTCAAAAAAATACATATATATCGGAAATAAAATATATTCTCAAAACTGAACTCAACGGTGGCATCGATGAGCCACAGTGTTGCCAAACCATACCAAGGTAGATTTACACAGGTATGGAAAAGTTGAAAATTTCCCATGAGCCTCAGTACGTGTCACATGACCTCGTGACGTAGGTTAAGGGGCCCGTTTTTTAATTAAATTACAATCAAATTAACATTCAAACGTTTGTGCGTTTGAACGCTAAAAGTAATATCATATAACCAAAATTGTGAAAAAAATCCCACAAAATTTTGACAAACGATAAACCGAACATAATGAATCAAAATAATCAAAACATCCAAAATGGCTGACGTTAAGGGGCCGCTGGAGAGCCAATCAGAGGCCAGTTGTTTAGTTCTGTCCATACCTGTGTAAATCTACCTTGAAACCATACCGAAGAGGAATGCGGATTGTGTCAAAACCAAGACCAATCCACACAGGTCAGTCATTGCGCATCTTTTTGAAAGCCACTTCCCCGCCCGGCCCTAACTCGGCTGCACTCAATAGTACGTCACAATGGGTGCTCCCATAAGAAATACATTGCAAGCACTCAATAGTACGTCACTGCGCAGTAGAGTACCAAAACTCGTCCACGGGAATGACTGACCTGTGTGGATTGGTCTTGGTCAAAACTATTTTTCCGGATCATACGAAGGGCCTTCCCCGGCTTTTGATTGGCTCGCAATTTTCCTCAATTTTCTTTAGTTTGAAAGAAAATTTCTCGTGGAAACTTCTCTGAAGTGCTTCTCAAAGCGACTACAAAGCTATCGATATATTACACCTACCATGTTTCTGTTTTTTTACTTTCAATTTGAATCAAGTCTCAAAGAAAAGCTGTACCTAAGCTAACCTCAACCATGGGTGTTCATTTTCATTGCAAAGAGAAAACATTGCAAATAGCCACCAGCAGTTCTCGATCTGAAATTTGACAAATTTTCAATTTAAAATCATCTTTTGTGACCTAAAATGGTTTTTTGTCTTTCAATCAGTGTCGTCTTAATACCTTTTCAGTTCAGTTTCTAAAGTTTATGGCGTTTCTTCATTGTTCCTTTCGCTCCTAATGGTTGAAGCTGAAGCCAAGTAGCTCGTCGGTTTGATCTGCTTTTTTTCCTCGAAGAGGATTTAATTGTGCCTCTCCTTCAAGTCTCAGCTTTAGCAGTGTCACTTTTTCATCATAAACAATTACTT